CTCCAGAAAAATGCTAGGAAAATCCTCTCTAGGCTGGACTTTGGAATCTCATGGTATTTATTACCAGATTTTCTTCAAGACTCTCATTTCTCATTCAACTTATATTAGGTAGTTGTAAATTAGTTTGGTTGCTTATATTAAATACCAGTAACCAAGAAAACAATAAATAAAATGCAGCTAAACCTTGTTACTTATTACCGAAAAATGCATGAGGGCTTGTGAGATGAGCTCTGAGCTGGCTGTTGACTTCTGTTTGGTACTTGGTACCAGTGATTCCCTGAATTGCCAAACACTCTGTGATAATGAAGCTTATTCATTTTCAGACAATCCGGCTAATGATACAATGCTTAGGAATGAAACATGGTGAATAGTAAACTTTTGTTGTAGACAATGCCTGAATATTGATCTAATAGGCAAGCCTTAACAACAGCTAAAACTTGTGTGGGTAGTAGAAAAAAATATAAAATTTTGAAATTAGACTTGGCTTTGCAACTTAACTAGTAACATAACATTGGACAAATAATTTAACCTCTCTAGGCCTTAATTTACTCATTAGTGAAATAGGAATAATAATACTTAGCTTTCAGAGTGTTATAGGTAATTTCCCCAACATATACCTATCACATTGCATTACCACCAACAAGTGGTATTTGTAGATGCTATTATTACTTCATTTTTTAAAATCTGGGACGATGTTGATTATTAATGCCCCATTAATTTAGTGGAAGGTCTTTGCAGGGTAAAACAAATAATAAAAATTTTAAAACCCAGGAAAATCCCATTATCACATTAAATAAACCCATCCAATGCAAGAATGAAAAAAAACGACTTTCAGTGTTAGGAAATACCATATTATCCATGGCTACACCCTACTGTCATTGTTAAATAACCTTTAGAGATACTATTTCACTATCCTTACATGGAGGAGGTGGTATTTTACTCCTTGTGTCATCAGTTATGGCCCATTTACAATGATTTAACTTTGCTGTAAGCACGGGGTCCTTTTCCTGTTTTCATACTATCCCAGTAGGTTTGTGGTAGAAACAACCTGGACAGTGAGGACTGTGAGACTCTGGTGGAGCACACTGGGAAGTGCAACTGACTCCAGAAAATCAAGTAGAAAGAGAAATTCAAAGAACTGAGGGGTAAAGTTCAAGGAAATGAGAATGAAAATTAAAATAAATTTTAAAAAATGCAGAAATAACCAAAGAATATCAAATACATAGACTAAACTGGGAAAAAATGGTAATGATACCTTGTGATTTATGACCTGTTAAAGGTAACAGATAACGAGGCATTGGAGAGGATGGGTGGTGGGGCAGAGGTGCAGAAAGCCTGGTCAGGAAGGTGGGGCTCATGTGGAAGGTGGCCCAGGCTGTCGTAGCCAGAATAAAATATCCTGCATCAAGTCAAAGGGTGAGAGATGAATTATTTTCTTATTATTTCATTTCCAATAGTGTCTTAATGTCCTCTTCACTGTATAGAGCAAAGCAGGGTGAAATGCAAACTGGGATCTATGCCCTAGTAAGGATACCACCTAACAACTGCCAGCCTTGCTTTAGTTCTGAGCTCACACTTATGGAAAGTATGTCTAGACCATGTCAGCATAAACCTAGAATTGCTTCTTCAGTACAGAAGAGACTTGCCATGTATGTTGTTACAGAAGAGTTATCTGAAATAATTTCAGAAACATGACACAAGTGGTGTTACAATAATAGCTGCAGGAAAAAGGAACACTGAGCTTCCTCTTAAAATCCAAAAGAAGAGAGACATCAGCCTTCTTCTTGTGATAGAAATAATCCCAATAATTCTGGGTTCTCTCTTCTGTTCTTCACAATGTCTTTTGTAAATTTTCTCCTCTTGATAAATCTCAGATCTGTAACCATTGTACCTTCCAGCAGATGACCTTGTCTCCTTTTTAGAGTAAAGAGAAGTCATATACAGGAACTTCTCTGACTTCTTGCCACAAAAATGATACATTTACCTATACATACACCCAGTTTTTTTCCTTTCCTGCTATTGCATTGACAGAGGTGGCCTTCTACTTTGTCCAAAATCAATTGTTCTACCAGTACCTGGGTCCATCACTCTTGTCCTTGCAGTGACCATGTTATGTGGATTAACTTCTCACTCTCCTGTCCTGTCCCTTCAATTTCCTTTTCTGCTAGTTCTATTATTTTCTTTTTTTTCTTTTGTACCCTCTTGAGTTGTGTGACAAATTCTGCTAGTTCTTAGCGCTTAAACATGCCGAGGTCTCAACTCAGAAATCTGTAACGGGCATCTGGAATTTAACTCAAACTTTCTCCTTGAAGGCCTCCGACATTGCTAACTCAACATAGGCAAAAGTGAATTAATAATTTGCCCCTCCCAAACTTGCTTCTCTTCCCGCAACCTTCAATTTCTCAATCTCAGGGGAATGGCACCATAACCCAACCAAATATGTAGCTAGAAATCTGGGAATTATCCTTGATCCTGGTCATTCCCCATAACCAATGATCAGCAAGTCTTATTGGATCTATTTTCAAAATAAATTCTGTAACCAGCCACTTTCCTCCATCTCCATTGCCACATGCTGGTTTAGACCACCATCATCTCTGCCTGGGGGGTTATAATCGACTACTAACTGGCTTCCCATTTTTACTGTAGGTCTTTACTCCTGTTCCTCTCCATTCTGTAGCTGGAAGAATCTTTTAAAAATCCAGTTAATGATCATGCCACTCTCCTATCCTCACCTTTAAAACAATGGTTTCCCATTGTCCTTCAGATAAAGTCCATACTCCTTAATATAGCTCACAATACCATTCATGAGCTACTTCTACTGACTTTTTATTCTCATCTCTTTCCACATTCTCTAATCATTCCAAATGTTTTTCAATGTCTCTTAATTGCTATCATCTTTGCCTAGCTGTTAATAAAACTCCTCTGGTTCCTAGACTGAATTAGCACCCCTCCTCACCTGCTCTGTGCTTCATAGGATATTTTATTGTAATGATTTCTTTAATCCTTTGCTAGAGTATAACAGCAAGAATTATGTCTGTCTTGCTTACCCATTTATCCTTCCCTCCCCCAGCCCAGCCCTTCCCACCAGCCATTGTAGTGTTTTGCTTTGTGTCTGGTGTCTAGTGGATCCTCAGTAAGTATTTGTCAAATAAATTAATTATCTTTCAGAGTTTTATTATCATTTCTCTTACTGAACTCAATAATCATGATTCTCCTGTGGAGTATCAGATAATGTAATCACAGCACTTTTGGAAAAAAAAATCTCGTGTCTGTGGCAAGAAAGGGAAATTAAGCTTGCGAGTTGCCAGAACAATGAATGCTGTGACACCTTTGCCATTAATCTTTGTGATTTAAAGGTTTGTAATAATTACCACTTGTTTTCACAAAGGATTTAGACATTTAGAGAAATTTCTTTGTCTCCATATGAAGGTCATATGAATGTAAAGACAAATATTTGGTCACTTATGCATAAAGATAATATCTGCCATTAGCAAAGAAGTGTCCTCAAGGGTTTTTGTTTGTTTTTCCTTGGAATAGAGATAGACAAGACAATCTTTGGAAGTTCTGTGCCAACATCATTTCAAAACTATTTGTTGAGTACTTACTAGATATAATATTTCACCTTATAAATCCTGCAATCTTAGAGCCAGGAGAAACCTTCACTGTCATTTTGGCATACTTCCTAGACACCGTCTGGGAATTTAGTCTACAACATCCCTGACAGTCATTACCTAACTCTGGCTCGAGAACTTTCCCCTGGAATGGGAGTCCATGGTTGGTGAGGCCATCTGGTCCGCTTCTAGATGCTCTAGTGTCACAATATTTTTCCTTCCATTTCCTTTTCCCTTCTCTAAATGAACATCTCTCGTCCTGTCATTTCTACAAATTGGTCCTTTACTTCAGTCCTCAACTTAAAAGGCTTTAACTATTTGAGAGGTAGTGCAGGAAAAGGGAGACCCCTTCCATGAGCACCCAGTGTTTTACAGGCCCCTGGTGGGTACACTTTATGTGATCTCACTAACTCCTTAAGCAATCAAGTAAAGTAAGCACCATTAATGGCATTTTACTCCAAGGTAAATAAAACATTCCCCATTTGGTTTTCTAATGTTGAAACCCAATTTTTAAATTGCAAGTTTCTGAGTCAAGATCCTGGGGTGCTAATGCATATACATTATATCTGTTAATGAATAATTGCATGGAATTAACTCCCTTTTACCATTTCTAAAACTGGGAGTACAGTTCTTATTGTCCTAGGTAACCTCAGAAGGATTTTTTTTTTTTGAAGACAGAAGCTTTATTGGTCATGTTAATGAGTCGTTTTGCTAAGTGAACATATCATGGCCTTTGAAATCATACCCAACAGAACTCTATTGCCCTTTGAAATAAGAAATTGTCACTTAGAAGTAATTCAAACTAGGGGAGAAATTGGCTTATTGTGTCCTTTTCAGACTTGTGAGAAAATGTCCATGATGAAGAGCAATAATTTTCATCACAGCCCAAAGAGCTATCAACACTACTCGAAGTCCCAAAGCACTGGGACATTGGGAGACTAAACAACCTGGACTAAAATAACATGGACATTCATGTTGAGACAATCAGGAGTGATTTAGGGTCAGAGTTTGGTTATCCCCACAACAGTCTTAAGAGTTTACTAACATTTCAAAGTCAGTGTTTAGAAATTCTTAATGAGTAATCCACTGATATATTTGGGTTAAAATAGTATTTTATAGTAAATGTATAAAAGTTCTGCCATATTTGTCAATTTGTGGGGGTTTCTGTAGGCTAAGTTTTAAAAACTCTACTTTAAAAGAAATTTTGTTACCAAAAAACTATTTTGAATATTTTCCCTTTTTAATTGATTGTGTGAGTGAAGTTTAGACAAAATCTCAAATACTACCTATAACTCCAGGTTTTTGGAAATGCTTTATCACAGTATAGATTCTTTTTAGGTTTCCTTTATTTAATTCTGTTTGGGGGATTTCTTTCTGTTCTTTTACCAGGTTCTCCAAAGTACTTATAATCTGAGTGAAATAACCAATTCTAGAGACTGCTTCCTCAATACATTTCCCAATGACGGTAACTGCCCTTAAAACTTTTTGGATTTGGAAATCAATCTGTGTGAAAGCAGCAAGTAAGTATTTCTTCAAACTATTGCAGATTATGTAAGAAATTTTCTTTAAAAATGAATGTACCTAGAGAAACTAAAAGAAACATGCTATGATGTTAACAAGAGTTATCTTTGGATGGTGAGATTATAGGTAACTTTTTCCTTTCCTTTTTCCTCACTGCCCTATTTTAAATAAAGAATGTTTGTTGCTTTTACAACAAAGAAACCTTATTTTTGAAAAGGCAGTTGTAGACACAATAATGCCCACATGTATGAAATGAGATCTCAGGTACATGTGCAGGCGACAGAATGCTAAGCAGAGATGCAGACACATCTACTGATTGCAGAAACAGACTGTAACTGGATAGCCTGGCCCACCTGGCTTAGCAAGTGCCAGCTTCTTTGCAGATCACAAATATAATTCTGAACATGGTGACAGGTCTTTGGTACCAGGTTATCTCTAACCCCTTGCGAGCAGGTCAACAACCATCCCCAAACATCTCAGCTGCATAATTTTAGTTTTGAATTGAGAAACCAGTTCAGTCAATGTCAGCTAGTTGGTTCTAAGTAATATGTCTACTTTTTAATGAGTAACAGGATAAAAAATGTCTATATACACAGGGAAGTGATTAAACTTGTTAATTGTTCAATCTTGACTGTTAAAGGTATTGATAGAACTTACATTAAGGAAATTAGGGAAGTGCTTGTCCCAGAATGTCCTGGAAGAGGTACCAGGTTCTTATTATAAATATACACAGATCCTATTATGTCTAGAAAGCTGGCCGGAATTTTTGTCCCAGTGATATTTACTTAAAGCTGATTTAAATTAGTAAAACAAACTGAAGAATAACCTCTTAAAAATTTACAGTAACACACTCACATAAATATACTCATATTCAAGACAAACCTTTGACAATTTTTATTTTATTCATTTCTTCATCCATCAATCTACTCATTCATTAATTTAACAAAGACTTTTTGAGTATCTTCTATGTGTGAAGCAAAACCTTAGTCGTTGAGAAGCATACCAGGGAACAAACACAAAAATCTCTGCAATCATGGAGCTTATGTTTATGGCACTAGGGAGATTTAAAAAAAAACAGCATGCAAAATATATAGTATGTCAGATGGTGATTAAGTGTTTTGGAAAAAAATAAATCCAGGAAGGGAGGTAGGGCATGCCAAGTGAGAGGTGGTGTTGTTATTTAAACAGTGTGGTCAGGAAAGGCCTTACTGATAAGGTAACCTCATTAAGAGACATAAAAGTGTTGGTTTCAGAGGACTCTAATAATCCCCTTTCTAAAGTCGTTTGAGCAGTACAAGTGGGAGATCACTGATCCAGTGTTGCTGTTGTTTTTATTGCACACTTGAAATAACCCTTCCTTCTATGCTCAGAGAGTGGTATCTTCAGCACAAGAATATAATTCTTTCATAGAATGAATAAACAGTAAACATGTTTTCTCCAGAGTGATATGCCTGGTGAACAGACTCACTCAAGCGTCACTTTTCAGTGGTCTCACTGAACTAATACAACCATACATATAGATATTAGGTATTCTTCCTATTCATTCATGTGTTTGCTTTCTGAAGTTGACAATGAGCCCAGTGAAGATAGGGAAGGGACAATGATTTGTTTTTCATCTTGGTAGCTTCAATGCCTAAGCTAGGGCCTGGCATAGGTCAGGTGCTCAATGATTGACAGTTGAATAAATAAAGTGTGTGAGTAAAATAAACATTGACTTCAAACAACTTACAAGATGGACCCTTATTGGCCACATTTGCCTACTGAATTGTCCAAAGTGGATGGATGTCTTACATCATGACAGTCTCCCTATTTCTCCAAGTCCTACATGGGCCCAGCACCAAGGACCTGTTCTGTAAAATAAAGTGATGGTGTCTCCCCAACAGAAATACTTTTAGTATAAGCAACTATAAGAGGTTATTTCTACTCCCATTTTCCCTGTGACAGTGTTGTGAAATGGGACAGCTATCATCCCCACATTGTCCTTCTACCTCTGTGACAGATAATCTGGTTTATACCCTCTTTCTGAGATGGTGTGGTGGGTGATATTCTTCACACTAGATTAGGGGACAAAATTATGACAGTTTGTGATATCTTCACTTGGGGGAAGGAGAACCCAGAAGGTTTCTTTTATAATGGAGTCCTGATTCTAGGCCTTAATAAGTATGTGGCATTGCTCAATCTCTGTGAATCCCATGTCCTCATCTGTAAACTGGGAATAATAATTTCTACTTCACAGCATTGTTGTGCAGGTTGAGTTGGATAGTATACATACATAAAGCATTTGCTATGGTGCCTAGTGCATGATGTGAGTGTTCAGTAAATTATTATTAATATTCTTACCACTGTTAATAATAATGTTACTGTATGAGAAATTAGGCCAATGGAATTTTCTTTACACTTTTAAATATTTTTAAATGTTGTTGAACATTTATATAATCACTGAGGATAATGTTTATAAATATATATTTGTATTTTAAAATTTGTCTCCCTATATATACTTACATTGATATGAAACCAAGTAACGTTTATAATATTCTTGAATGTCTTACCACTGAAGAATATGAAGAAGGTGTAAAATATTATATCAAAAAAATTCCAGGCCGGGCGCTGTGGCTCACGCCTGTAATCCTAGCTCTTGGGAGGCCGAGGCGGGCGGATTGCTCAAGGTCAGGAGTTCGAAACCAGCCTGAGCAAGAGCGAGACCCCGTCTCTACTATAAATAGAAAGAAATTAATTGGCCAACTGATATATATATAAAAAATTAGCCGGGCATGGTGGCGCATGCCTGTAGTCCTAGCTACCCGGGAGGCTGAGGCAGAAGGATCACTCGAGCCCAGGAGTTTGAGGTTGCTGTGAGCTAGGCTGACGCCACGGCACTCACTCTAGCCTAGGCAACAAAGCGAGACTCTGTCTCAAAAAAAAAAAAAAAAAAAAAAATTCCAGCTGTGAAATGGGATGGTATTTAACAGGGGACATCTCTGTGGTCTCCAAACAGCACCCATGTTCAGGGACAGCTCAGCAGGCATTTTGCCATTGTGGCGGGTGTTTTGATCTCAGTCACTTTGATACTTTTCTTTTAGAAAGATACAGGTCTGTGGAAGTCATTATCTTTTCAGGTAGGAAAGCTATGCTTTAGTGGAATCTAATAACCTTCTCTTCTTGTCTATTTAGAATTTTCTTGAAGTACAACTAAGACCAGAGGTCACCACCAGTCTTCACCGGTGGACTTGCATGATTATGGAGATGGTCTATCTGATGTTGAAAATGTCTCTGGTTTTTTGACAACGGCTGAAGAACCATGGGGTCAAGTGGCCTTGGGAAAGCTGCAACATTGGATGAACTGCTGAGCACATGCATTGAGATGTTTGGTAGGAGCCTTTTCCCCTTCCGTCCCTTTTGTACATCTCCATACCCTGACTTCCCCCCACTCAGAAATTCAGTCTCTATACCTTGGCATTTAAAGCCTCTTGGATTAACCCCAGTCTGCCTGTCCAGTTTCACTATCCTTTACGTTTCCTTCTCTTCACTGAGCACAGCTCACGCCCCCAACTGTCCACTTAATGTTTCTGAAACATTCCTGCACGTTCCTACCTCCATACCTTTATTGAATTCCTGTCATTGAAATTCTGCTTCAGGGCTCATATCAGATGTTGTGTCAGATATTGATGATGCCCTTCCTAATCTCTCCCATCAGGAATGCTGGTTGCCTCTTGCACCCTCTCACTGCCCATTGTAACTTTCTATGTCACATAGTATGTGCTCCTCTGAGTATTTCTTTGTTGACTCAGACAAGCGTGAGTAGAATAATTTACTGCATTCAATATTTGTACACATCTTCTTTCTCCTACCAGATCGTAGACTTTGCAGCCATATACTTTTCCTGTTGTTACTTTTGGATCCACCTCAGCATTTTAGATTATTTCTTGCACAAGTAGAGTCACACTGGGGTTGTTTGTTGAATTGGTTACTATAGGAATCAGAGTTACACCAGAGCAGGATTGCCAGATAAAATACAGGGGGAATGGTTAAATTTGAATTTCAGGTTAACAACATCGTTAGTGTAAATATGTACTAAATAATGCCTGGGACATACTTATATTAAAAAAGTAATGCTTGTCTACATTAAATGCTAATTTAACTGGGTATCTTGTATTTTTATTTGCTAAATCTGTCAATTGTAAACCAGAGGAAAGGTGAGAACCACCTACCTTAACTCAACTTCTGCAAGGAAATACTATAGGAAATTGAATCTATGAGAAAAAATTTTGACACTGTTATTTCTCTAGTGATATTAGAGAAAGTAAAGAGTAGCACTGTTTTCTCATCCTTTTTTTGTTTTTTTAAACAGATGACAATGGAGAGCTGAATAATAGTTATTTGCCAAGAATAGTTCTACTGATGCACCGATGGTATTTATCTTCCACTGAATTGGCAGAAAAACTTCTTTGCATATATCTTTTCAACTACTGTGTAATTTTTACAATCATAAATCAACTTCTATATTTAGATAGAGTGTCTATCCAAAGCCAGTAAATTAAGATGAATAAACAGTCTTCAGTCAGTTATCCAGCTGTTTTGTGAATATATATATATGTCTAGACGAAACATCTGGGGGATGGACCAAATAGTTGACTATCCATCTGCATGTTTTGGCTGTACTTGGAAATAATCGCTATGATGTAAAATGAAACAGGAACTGTAGGCTGAATGTTTCTAACTTGTCTTAACCATGTCTGCTGTTAGTACAATGAATGAATATTTAACAATGATTCCAGATCTAATTTATTTCTTCTAGGATGACAAAATGGTGGCAGAGAGGACACAGCTTAATCATATGGAAATGCTAACCAAAATAATATGCTCTGGCTCAGGCACAAACACCAACTTAGTTTTCACATCTTCCCTTGCTGGCAAGACACAATGAACATTCTAGCAGGCTTATTGTAATTTGTTGGTTGATACTAATTTTAAATTTTTTTCTGACATTACAAAACCCAACCAAACAAAACCCACAGAGTAGGAAACCCCATTCTATAATGAGGGCTGTTAGCAGTCTACCACTTTTGTATATCATGTGGTCTTGAAAAATGGTTGAAAGCCAAATGACAAAAAATTCAGTCTCCCATTTGTAAGGAGGCTTTATTCCCTGACATATAATGTTTATTATACAATCTCTAATGTTGTTTCTTGCAGTCTCTGCCCTCTTCAAGCCCAGGGGGCCCTGGAGATGAGTGAGAACCCCTACAGGGCAGGGGGACCCTTAGAGGGAAAGGGTCCATCAGATGTTATTATAGCCTGCCAAGGCCGCCTGGGCCAAGTGGGGCTTCCACCTGTTCAGTTCAAGCTTCCTCCACTTCCCACTTCTTCCCTAACCTCAGAGCAGAAGGGGATCTTAAAGAGGGTAAAGGGTTATTCACACTGAACCAAGGCCCCTGGAAGTGAGCAAGCTCCTAGCTCCCAGTGGTCCAAGGGTCGAGTGGGTCCCACTGTGGAAGGGAAGAGCATAGCGAAGGACAGAGGCATTGACTCAGTCTGGCCCCACCCTCTCCACGATCCAGACATTGTCCAAAGCATGTGCCCACGACAGTGTTTTCACCATTACTATGGCCATTAATGTAGGAACTGACAAATAATAAAAGGATATTTAAGCATAGTGAAGTTTTAATATGGGAAAGTACAGATTATATAAAAGTCGAAGATGCCTGTGAATCAACATTTCTTTCAATTTTCCTCCCTTTGGATTCCTTGCTTACTCTATATCTACAATGCCTGACATACAGCAAGGGCTCAATAAATATTTGTTTAAAAGAGTATGAATAAATAGACTTAAAAATAAATAACACAACTTGTGTATTAATATACCTGAAAATGGCATTTTCAAATATTAAAAAAGAAATTAGAGGCCAGGCATGATGGCTCACAGCTGCAATCCCAGCCCTTTGGTAGGCCAAGATGAGAGGATCACTTGAGGTCATGAGTTTGAGATCAGCCTGAGCAGCAAGACCCCATCTGTAAAAAAAATGTTTTTTTCTTGTTTAAATCAGCCAGGCATGGTGGCATATGCCTGTAGTCCTAGCTACACAGTAGGCTGAGGTGGGAGAATTGCTGCAGTCCACAAGGTCAAGGCTGCAATGCACTTGTGATTGCATCACTGCGCTCCAGCTTGGGTGACAGAACAGGAGGGAAAGAAGGAAGGAAGGAAGGAGGGAGGGAGGAAGGAAGAAAGGAAAGAAAGAAGGAAGGAAGGAGAAATTAGAGTCCAGCCTGGGTGACAGAATAAGACTTTGAGGAAGGAAGGAAGGAAGGAAAAAAGGAAGGAAGGAAGAGAGGGAGGGAGAGAGGGAGGGAGGGAGGGAAGGAGGGAAGAGAAATTAGAATACTTACATGGTCATGCATCACTTAACGATGGGAGTATGTTGTGAGAAATGCATCATTAGGTGGTTTCATCATTGTGGGAACATCATAGAGTGCACTTACTCAAACCTAGATGGCATAGGCTACTATACACCGAGGCTATATGGTATAGCCTATTACTCCTAAGCTACATACCTGTATAGCATGTGACTATAGGTAATTATAATGTAATGGCCTGTATGTGTATATCTAAACATAGAAATATACAATAGACAATGTGAAGGATAAGAAAATGGTATACATGCATAAACACAATGGATAGAGCTTGCAGGACAGGAAGTTGCTCTGGGTGGGTCAGCGAGTGAGTGGTGAGTGAATGTGAAGGCCTAGGACATTACCTTTGTACACCATGGTAGACTTTATAAACACTGTACACTTAGGCTACACTAAATTTATAAAAAGATATTTTTCTTTCTTCAATAATTAACCTTTTTACTTTATAAACTTTTTAAGTTTTTAAACTTTTTGACTCTTATAATGGCACTTATCTTAAAACACAAACACATTGTACAACTGTACAAAAATATTTTCTTTCTTTATATCCTTATTCTATAGCTTTATTTTATTTAAAAAACCTTTTATTTCATTTTTTATTTTTAAACTTTTTTGCTAAAAACTAAGACACAAACACACACATTAGCCTAGGCCTACACAGGGTCAGGATCATCAATGTCATCAATGTCTACCTCCGCATCTTGTCCCACTGGAAGGTCTCCAGGGGCAATGACACGCATGGAGCTGTCATCTCCTATAACAACAATGTCTTCTGGAATACCTCCTGAAGGACCAGCCTGAGGCTGTTTTACAGCTAACTTTTTTTTTCAAAAAACTTGAGTAAAATAACAACAAAAAGTATAGTATAGTAAATACACAAACCAGTAACATAGCTGCTTGTTATTATTATCAAATATTATATGGTGTTCATAATTATATGTGCAAGACTTTTATATGACTCACAGAGCAGTAGGTTTGTTTGCACCAGCATCAAACACGTGAGTAATGCATTGGGCCACGACGTTATGGCTACAACATCACTAGGCATTAGGAACTTTTTTTTAGTTCCATTAAAATCATGTGCGACCACTGTCATATACATGGTCCTTTGTTGACTAAAATGTTGTTATGTGGTGCATCATTATATAAGGTATTGATCCTAAACAAAAAGGCTTTTTTTTTTGGCTAAAATAGTTCTGCTATGTACTATTAATTTTAATTATGTGTAGTTGGCAGTCTAATTGTAATTATAGTTGGCTGTCATTGGTTGGTAAGTGCTCAGGAAGGTAAAACTAATTTTATAAGTGGCTTTTCCTCCAGACCAAAAAATACATCTCAGAGCTATAATAAATCAAGTTTAGATTATTCACTGTTGAAGTCATCAGAGCCTACTTCTCTAGTGTCTAGCCTACTTCTGAGTGTCCCTATAACCCAAATGTCCCCAGCATGGCCCTCTTAGAAGGAATTCATAGAAATTGGTGAAATAGCTGCATTTGTGTGCAAAGGAAACATGGTGCAAGGACTTTTTCTTTAACTGGAGTACGTATAGAAACGCCAGTGGAGAAAGCTGCGATGAGTTTCGATTAAAGATCTGCTACTTCATGAGGTAAACATGCTTTAATTTAATTTCTTGTGGTTTCTGGTTCTAGAATTGTTGACAGTGTTCCTTTTTCCCCAAGCAGCAGACCTAGTTTCACAATAGAAGCTACTCAGATACCCTTTATACCGACTTTGTTAAAACCGGCCCTCTTCTGCTGGGGCGTGGGGTGGGCATGTACTTTATCTTTTGGGCTAGAGATCAAGTTGTGGTAAATGTGATTAGGGAATGGAACTAGCTCTTAGAGAGGGTGAATTCATTTTCTTCTACTCCCTCACCACACATATTCCCACCACTTTGCTGTGAATTAAGGGAAAGATTTCCTCTCCACTGTGGTTCTAGGGAGAATCAGAAAGAGAGGCTAGGCCAGGCACGGTGGCTCACGCCTGTAATCCTAGCACTCTGGGAGGCCGAGGCGGGAGGATCGCTCTAGGTCAGGAGTTCGAGACCAGCCTAAACAAGAGTGGCCCTGTCTCTACTAAAAATAGAAAGTAATTAGCTAGACAACTAAAAATATATAGAAAAAATTAGCTGGGCATGGTGGCGCATGCCTGTAGTCCCAGCTACTCAGGAGGCTGAGGCAGAAGGATTGCTTGAGCCCAGGAGTTTGAGGTTGCTGTGAGCTAGGCTGATGCCATGGCACTCTATCCTGGGCACTCTAGCCCAGGCAACAGAGCGAGACTCTGTTTCAAAAAAAAAAAAAGAAGAAGAAAAGAAAAGAGAGGCTAGGATGAGAGTGGTTTTTGATTGAAGGAGGGAAGAGAGAGATTCAGTACAATAGAAGGGAGATAGGAGATGGCTAATTTGAATTGTGGTCCTGGATTTGGTGTTATATGTAGTCTATAAAATGGTACGATAGTTTGCATAGAGGTCCAACTTGAAATCTTACAGCTGTCAAAAAGATTTGATGCCTTTCAGGTACTGGATTCTGAAGTTTCCTGCGGAGTTTAATTTGGACCTTGGTTTGATTCGTATGACTGAGGAATTCCAAGAAGTAGCTAGTCAACTAGGATACGAAAAACACATCGGTCTCATCGACATATCCAGCATGTAAGAGTGGTGCAAGCATCTTTCAAACTTGATGAGTCCCCTGCTTTGGGGAGGGAGTAGAGATGACCCTACTTGTCCTGAATCCATACCATTCCAGAATTCATTAAGGATGGCTTCTGTGAGGAAAGGCTTGCTGCAATGAGTACAGCCGTAATGGACACAATTCATCTCTCCAAGCTGCAGCTTCTGTCTTTGTAAAATTGGGATAGTACCTTTCTCATGGGATTATCATGAACATCTAATAAGTGCATAAGATAGTGTGTGAAAGCATTTGGAACGCAATATATGTTCAGCACTTAGTTATTGAATCTGAATCTAGCTAATGTCTCCAGTGGCTTTGCTACACAGAGTGGGCTGTGGATCAGTAGCATTGGCCTCGCCTGGGAGCTCACTAGGAATGCAAACTCTTGGGCCCCACCCTAAATTTGTTGAATTGGAATCTGCACTTTTAAGATTCCCACGTGATTCATATGCTCACTCAAATTTGAGAAGCCCAGAAGCCCTGTACCATGGTTGTTGCCCATAGCCCATGGTGCTATGGTTGTTGACCATAGTTGTACCATGAACTGGTTGGTTTGGTTATTAGGAACTCAGTGCAACTGGGCTAGTTTCATATCAACTAGCTAACTTTGTACAGAGGAAACTATTTGATGATCCTAAGTATTGTTATCCCTCTTGGTCTTGTGTTAGGCATTCATATCCTATTCTATTTTCTTAGAGTTCTTCTTCAAGAGTGATCAACAGTGAATGATCCAAGAATTATCAGGGATGTTTGTTAAAAAAATACATGTTATTCAGGTTGATTTGTAGTAAACTAGAATCTCTTACAATGAGATCCATGCCTCTATCTTAACAAAGAGCTTTTCAGAAAATTCAGGTTATACTGAAGTGTGAGAATCACAGCTTCTGGTGGTTTCCATGTGCCTTAAACCACCATCTATACCCTGATAAACTCCCAAATTTATATACCTAGCACTGACCTCTCCCTTCTGACCCAGACCTTGCTGGTTGCAAGAAGACCAAGTAAGAGATTCTGGATGAGTCGGTGTAAAACCCACTCTGTCTGGAAAAACAACTCAAAGTTTATGTTCTGTTCGCAACTGGTCATTGGTTTTTCTCTTCAAATATGAAAGGGCATGTATTTTGCACAAGCCCCTGGAAACAGGCCAACAGTTACAGAGTCAGTAGGTTAATAACTTCCATTGAGTGAAATGGGCTTTCAGCACATTGACCAGACTCTTCTTTTACAGTCCTTCCTACGACTGGATGAGAAGAGTCACACAGAGGAAAAAAGTATCCAAGAAGGGAAAAGCCTGTCTGCTGTTTGACCATCTGGAGCCTGTTGAATTGGCTGAGCACCTCACTTTTCTGGAGCATAAATCTTTTAGAAGGATCTCAGTAAGAAACTTGACATTTATTCTTCCAAGGATAACAAGCACCATGCCAACTTTCCCAAGACCCGCATTTTCATACTCCGAAGTGTTGGCAGCCTCTATCACTGTGCTCCATTGGAAAAGTGCCCTTAATTCACAGGAACAATCCCTTTTAACCAAAGATAAATATGATTCTGTCTTTATTTTATGGCTCTGGAGCTATATTTCTGTCGCTATTTTCAATGTCTCCTTTCATAGGATAAAAGCATGATTTTCCTAAACACTCAGTGGAGATTTAACCATTCAAGGTTGATTTAACTCCATTGACTTCTCTCGAGTGAACATGTTTTGCTAGGCCCTTCATTTTGGGGGAAAATATTTATTTAGGTTGGGATTTGTATAAATGCCTAATTATGGGTGTAGGTTGAAAATAGAAATTGTAGACTTTAAGGAGAATCTCAACATCATGTTGTTTTTATAACCAGAGGTAGAGATCCTGAATTACACTTTTCTTTCCTACTCATCTTGATAGCCTTTTTCCTTCTTTGCGTCCTTTTTCTTTCTCCAGACTGTGGCTTCTTCTTAGCTGCTTACTTGCTATCCCCTTGTTATGATAATATTTCTACACTGATTCACAGTCAGCATTTTGCTTTGCTTTATCTCACCAAGCTCTGGGGAAGTCAGTTTTCCTCCTCCTTCTCCCAGGTGTTAGGGAATGAATTACATTATTGCTTGCAAAGAAGACCATCTTGGTTGGAAGCTTGAGTTTCCAAAAGACATTAATTCTTTCACTATGTGATCCTACTTGGAGAGGAAATTCATGAGCCCCCGCAGGCAGGCCACGGGAGGGAATCCCCTGCACTGTTTAGATGATAGAAGGCGCTTATGTGTTTGATGACATCCATGCTAACTTTCTGTAAATGTGTCTATGTTCTAATAAGCTGGCTTATTTCAACTGACATTTTTTCTTATCCTTTTTTCCCTTGAAACAACTTTACAAAATAGTTCTAATTTGAAATGTTTATGTTATGTTTAGATTCATTTCCTCTTTTTTATTGTGTGCCATTATATCTTTAACCTGCCTGATCCTTGTAGTCATTGGCTGTGAGTTAAAATTGGAGATTCTTAGGTTCTTCTTCTTGAGATACTGCTCTTTCAGATCTTGAATTCTTGGGAATCAGCATTTTAGCAAATGTCCCAGGTGGATCTTAGGAACCAGTATATTTGGAACTCACTGAAATATGACTTTGAGTGTTACCCCTTCCTTCCCCAGCAATACTGTGACGTGTAATAGTGTATGTTTATGGCGGGGAGGAATGGGGTTTGAAACACAACAAAATAATATTTTAAAGGGACACATATATTCAAACTTGTAGGATATCATTATAAATGTAAAATGAAAGAAATTGTTATGCTGTTATGAAACAATATCTCACCTCTTCTATGCAATATTCTAATTTTTGATTTTGCAAAGGCTCCATTACAATTCAGAATCTCTGAATCTTCCTTTACTAGTTCACCGACTATCAAAGCTATGTCATCCATGGCTGCCTGGAGAATAACCCAACCTTGGAGAGATCTATTGCTCTATTTAATGGAATCTCTAAGTGGGTCCAGTTGATGGTCCTTAGCAAACCAACCCCCCAGCAAAGGGCAGAAGTCATCACGAAGTTTATCAATGTTGCAAAGGTATGTCTGGTCATCAGACTGTGGTTCTTAGATTCTAGATGTTCCTTAACTCTACTGAGATAAGTTACTGAGGAAATTTGGTATGCATAATGTAAGGGCATCCAACAATTAAACTACTCAGTGATGTCTAAATCATACTTCTCTCATGCAAGAAGATTGCTTTCAAAAAGCGATGCTTAGAAGTATTTAATGTAGCTCTTTTTCTGTGAAATAATTAATATGTTTTTCTGATGGATTCTATTTGTGCTTCATTTTAAATTGATGTTATTTTTTCATTGGTCCTTGTTATTATAATTATGCATGCATTCACCTGTAATTCAAGAAGTTCAGAATAATTCAAAAATCCTTACAAAGTACTGATGTTAACATTTTTATTGCAGAAGCTCCTTCAGCTCAAAAATTTTAACACTCTGATGGCGGTGGTGGGAGGCCTTAGTCATAGTTCCATTTCACGCCTCAAGGAGACCCACTCTCATCTTTCTTCAGAAGTTACAAAGGTATAGTGGATTTGGTCCTTAGCATAAGTAAAATACTCATTTGTAAATTGCTTAGGTTTAGTATACCCCTAATAAACGTCACTCAGAGTGGGAAAGTTTTCCTCTTAAACCAGTGGCAGGTTACACCTGTGGGACAAAGTAGAAAGGGAAGAGCCAACCAGCTGACTCCACCTGGTAGAACAGGTTGCAGGTGGTAGATGTCCCAATAAGAATTCTTTAGCATACTGTTAACATATTGTAGTTATAAACATTCAACAAATGGTGCTTACTGTGTGATAGGCACTGTGTTACCCACAGAGGGAACAAGTGAATAAGACAGAAATAGTTCCTACCCTACCCTCCTGAAATAAAGTCATTGAATGCTTACTCTATTCATAACATTGTGTTTAGCACATTGGAAGAAACAAAGGCAGGGGAAGACATAGACTTTTTATAGAAATCCTTATATTTATAGATATCAGGATAAAATGTGTGTGTGTGTGTGTGTGTGTGTGTGTGTGTGTGTATATATATATATATATATATATATATATATATTAAAAACAATGATCATTTCCCAACCAAGATTTTCTGTCATATTTATTTCTGGACCACAATAATAATTGTTTTCCTTACTGAACAAAAAGCAGCATTTCATCTTTATGAAAAGATTCTCCTGTAAGACTATACTTTGCTGTTTTGATAAGGACACTTTTGGCTTGAGTTTATAAAGAAAAATGGAAAAAAATTCTAAATTGATTAAATGATAAGGAAATGTATTTGTCTAACATGACTGGAAGTCCAGAGTCAGAACAGATTTCTTGTGTGGTCAGGTCAGAGTTCTGGCTCAGTTGCTGTGCCTTCTTCTGAGTATCAGATATGTTTGTTTGTTTGTTTGTTTGTTTCATCAGACTGGCTTCACTCCTGATTGGGCTATCTGCAACAACAGGGAAATTATGTTCCCTTGTTCATGAAAGTTGAAGATAGGGAAGATTTTTCACTTCATCTGTACCCCCATAGAATTAAAGCCCTTTTTAGACAGATTGAGCCATCTCAAGTCATGTGTCCACACCTGGACCAATAACAGTAGCCAGAAGAATACAATGTTCTGATTGGCTTAATTTTGTTTTCCTGAACCAATCACAAACCAGAGGGATGGGATTACTCTGATGGTAAATCACAACCCATTCTTGGTCCTGGGAATGAAAACAGTTCCATCTGAGTTACGTGGGCTGCTTTGGGAGAGAGTAGACTAATCAAAATTGGGATCTATTAGGAGGGTCTGGTTGCTGTTAAGCAACCAATAATAACTTGTCCATATAAACCAGAAAGGAAGTAAGCCACAGAAGTAATGTTGTCTGACCTCAAACTCTGCACTCATTCCAAGTATAATGGGTCTCATTATGTGTTTTATTTTCTTTCAGCTTTGTACTAACTTTCAAATAAAAAGCAAAGACAAATTTCAAATGTTGTAAAGAATAAGAATCTGATAGAGGCTTATAGAAACTTGGAACGACCACTGCTTTGGTTTTTTTAAAATTATATATTTGAACTTCTCTTTCTTATAGAAAAGTAAACTGAGGCCCACAAAACTATAGTGACTCGCTCAAGGTCACCCTTGTAGTTAGTGAGTGCAGAGTCCAAAACCACAGCTATCTGACACCTCAGTGCAACTTTTCCTACCCACAGTGTCCCAGACTAACCTCAGGTAATAACTGGAATGCAACTTTCTTGGAACAACTCAGAAATTTTAATATGCTACATGCTTGAATTTGTGCACTGTAGTATTTTCATGAGTTGCAAAATACTTAAATATGCATGATGCCCATTTAACATATTATATTAATAGTTGTAGGGATCCCAACATCCCTAGTAGGTAGGCAGAGGTGCAGGCAATTTCCGTTTTATAGCAGAAGGGAACAGCCTGCCCAGCTCACAGGCAGGCCTAGTACGTTTTTCTAGCTGTCTTTTTCCTGGTTAATATTTTTCTTCATCAACGTTGGTGCAATTGATACTTCTTTCAGTAGCTGAGGAATTTCTTAGCCACACATTGCAGGGCCTCAGGGTGGGCAGAAGGGAAGGCTGCTTGAAAATTCTACTTTTCCATCTGTTCCCAGAACTGGAATGAAATGACAGAGTTAGTCTCCTCCAACGGCAATTACTGCAATTACCGCAAGGCCTTTGCCGACTGCGATGGCTTCAAAATCCCCATTCTTGGAGTACACTTGAAAGACTTGATAGCAGTCCATGTCATTTTCCCAGACTGGACCGAGGAGAACAAAGTGAACATTGTGAAAATGCACCAGCTCTCGGTTACCCTGAGTGAACTGGTGTCCCTGCAGAATGCCTCTCACCACTTAGAACCCAACATGGATTTGATCAACCTACTCACGGTGAGTTCCCAGGGGCCCAGTTTGTGCTAAATAGCTCTACTGTGCCTCGCTTTTCAGGGGACATACAAGGATGAGTGCCAGCAGTTCACTCTGGGGGAAAACTGACATCAGGGTCAGTAGATGAGAAGAAAGCTCAAAGGACAAGTGAAAGAAACCCCACACCCATAACCAGCAAATTTCGGGGCAAAGAAATTTCCTTTTGTTCAGAGGGGCCCAGTCTCTGGTCATACAGTTCTGACAGTTCTCAGAGAGGCTCCTCCAGACCCATCTTCAGCCCTCACTCTCCTTCATCACACTCATCACCTCCTTCTGTACGCCCTCAAATCACCTGCTTCCCTTTATCCTCACTGCACTGCTGTAGCTGAAGCCTGGAGTAGTGGAAGGCCCTCCTCTGTGGTCTCCCTGTCCCCACCACCAGCCTCCCCAAACCACCAGGATGTAGTTCCCAACCTGGCCTTTGAGGTCCTTCAGGTCTCCGGCCATCAGCCCAACCTCGTTTGTCATCACCCTCCGCACAGCACACCAGCCTTTGAGGAACGCTGGGCTTGGACTTTCCATCGTGGAATGCTGCCCTGCTTCCCGGCCTTGGCACTTTCTTGGAAAATCCCATCCCTTTCCATCCATGTGGCTAGTTCAAATTCAAAAGCCTCTATCTTTCTGGAGCATTCTCTCTCCCCTCCAGTGCAGTAATGCATCTGTCACATGTGCTGTGCTTGCACTTTGCATTTTCCTTCACTGTCGGAGGTATCACTTTGTGTTAGATTTTTTTTTCTATTTATCTACCTTGTACATCACATCCTTAACAACTCTCACAGTCCCTGGCACATCTTAAGAACTCAGTAGATGAATTGAATGCTGTATTTAGGACTGATGTGACTGAGATGAAAGACATTCACCTACCACTCCTATTTTTTTGGCATTTGTGGTGCGTATGTTTAGCTGGTCTCCAGGTCTTAGAACTTTTAGATGTAGCAGGTGTGTAGAAGTGAACATTTTCCATTGGCTGCTTTTCTTTGTGGGAGGAAGAAGCATAACCGAATTTTCTCACCCTTGCTTAAGCAAGTAGAGTTGCAACTTCCCTGTTTGGGTATATACGCTGTAGCATCTGAAACTTGGCTGCGATACTGAATTGACTGTTATCCTTTTATGGCTGTAGAAAATGAAACCAGAACTCCTCTTAAGTTCTGAGAACCTAAATCCCCTAGGACCGATGCACTGGTACAGGAGTTTGCTTTCTAGACCTTCTTGAAGACTACTCCTAGAACTTGTAATTGTTTACCCAAGAATAGACCCCTAAGTGTAGGCAATGATGCTAGCTAGCTGCACCCTTGGAATAGAGCAGAAGTAGCCAACACACAAAAACATGCATCTCTTAGCGTGTTTGTTGTGACAAATAGTACACACACAGACATTCTCTACTGGGGGGAAAAAACTCAACTCACAATAATCCAAGCACCTGCATTTATTAATCTGTTGCCATGCAAATTGGTTCCCCGATCAGACAGCAGAACCCACAGGCACAGGTGATGTCTGCAGACCAGTCTCAGTGTGGAGCCTGAGCCTGGGTGTCTAGTGTCCGTGTCCAGGCCGTCCATGAAGTTGAGCATCCTCTCTCAGAGCAGGTGCCCACACGTGGGCAATTTCCCCTCCAGATAAAAGATAATAATGGAGTAGGGAAATTAACTTGAGTTATAAGTGCAGCAAGCAACATGACAAATGGATATTTACAGAAATATTGAAAAACTTTCAATAAAATTGTAGGGGTATAAATGTAAAATTTGAACTCTGGAAATAAAAACTAAGAAAAAAATTCCCTTTTGCTGGGAGGTAAAAAAAAAAAAAAAAAGAAAAAGGATACCAGAACACCTCTTTCTCTTCTCTTCCCCTTCCCTCTTTCTCTCTCTCTCTGTCTCATTGAAGGGGAATTTAGAAGCCACCGTGCCCGGTATTTGGTAACCGCAGTGTTGTCTAGCATAGTTAGTGGCAAAATCTGAGATGGGAGATCTTGCTTTTTCCCTGCCTTCGCAGTCGTTTAACTTTGTCTCCTTGCTAACCAGCCTTGACTTTGGCTTTGTCTTCAGGGCTTTGTGCTCATTTTTGAGGTCTCTTCCACCTCTAAATTTGTACTATTCTAGATGTAAGGAATGGTGGAGCCCTGCGAATGAGGAACCAAGTGTCAACCTGATTCTGTGATACCAGCCCAATGGCTCATCAGGATAGCACAGTCCTGTATGTGAGTCACTGAACATCAACCCAGTTTCTATTGAAAGCCAAGATCCTTTCTCTCCCCCAACAACCAAGGAGAGAGTTTAGTGCATAGGAATTATACATTCATTCTTCTTGACCACTGGGGAGTGAATCTCTTCAATATGAGAACTGAGGAGACTTCTATCCTGTGTGCCCTGCACAGGGGTTATTTTATGAAGAACATAACATATTCGGATTAGAACCATGTGATTGACTGCAGCTGCCCAAATGCTTGTGAGGGTGTCCATAAGCACAGCATTCGAAGGGGAGATTCGTTTTGCCCCAGGGTTCTAAGTCAAGTTTTTGCCTGAAGTGATTGTTTTCCTCTAAACATGGTCTCAAGTGAATTTACCAATATATGATTGAGAGCTTGGAGGATAGAAAAAGAGAACTCTTAAGTGAATCAACAATTATTAAATGTGTACTCAATGCAGTAGGCTGTATCGCAATACTTGAACTTTCTGTAACAGTTGATTACAGTTTTCATAGCACTTTTCACAAATGTTTCCTCAGTAAATTCTCACAAAAACCCTGTGATGCAGCCTGGCAGGGCAAGGAGTGTAATGTCTCCCCTGCCTCTTCCTTTTTTTACAAAAGAAGAAACTGAGATTCATAAAACTAAGGACAAAAGCCTTACAAATGGCAAACGTTTGAGTCCCAGCCTGGTGCTCTCTGGGATGTTTTGCCTTTGGCGGCACATTGCTGACATCTAATTTGCTTTATTTCACATTTGTAAAAATTAAATAATACCTCTATCCCCCTCCTTCTTCATGGATATGTAACGAAGGAGTTAATTCTGGGATAAAATCTACAAGAGCAGGGACCCCGTGCAGGTCATTACTATCATTGTATCTTTGGCCCCTTGAAAACAGCCCCAGCATGGGAAGGAAGGAGACCCACACCACCAAACTGCTGGGATTTGGATCGGTCCCCCTTCCTGGGAAGATCTGGAGTTTCCCTTGCGATACGAATTCATATCACAAGGAACTTTAAAAGCTGGTGCTTCTGTTTCATGGCATACGAAATAGCCTGAATCTTTTCACAGTATTTTTAGCCCTATCAGTTACTTTTACCATTCTGAGTGCATGCAAATAACTGGAAAGCCCCTGTATTTTTATAGTCTCATTTAAAAAAAAAAAAAGAAGAAGAAGAATGATTTCAAAAATGGTGAGTGGAGGTAGTTTGATGCCCATTATTTAATAATAAATGGTCAAGCTAAAGTAGATCCTCCCATGAAGACTAAATCTGCCACCATCTGTGCTGGATTGGCTACTAAATGCAATAACCTGAAACAGTAAGATCAGAACATTTGTCAGAAACAACCAGACTCAAAGTATGTCAGACAAAAGTGAATATTCTTGAAATCCCATTGACAAGCTGCCCATATTATATTAAAGGTGTGTAGGAAGTAGAAAGGATTGTTTTGGAGCAGGTCTATAAAGTGCAGAGGAGATCTGAGAGAGGAAGTAGGATCAGGACTGGGAAAGCACAGGTGGCAGGAGTCATCTCAAGGGGAATTTTACATTCATCAATAAGCAGTGGCATTTGGCTGCTGCATTGACTAGAAGCCAAACCCTGTATCTGCGACCTTCTGAACAAACCCAGCTGGACACACATTGGCTCACTGAATCTTCACCACCCCTGGGAGGGAGCTATTATTTATGATTCCCATTTTACAGATGAAGAGACTGAGACTCAAGAAGGTTAATTACTTGCCCAGGTTCATACCACTAATTAGTAGAGAGCAAATATTTGGAGAAGAGCAAAGCACTTCCATCATTGGGTCAGTTGTCTGTCCATTTGATGCATGAAAATACCCAAGGATGTTCTGTTTCTTCTGGAAGAGCATCTCCCCAACTTAGTGTGTGGCCTCTTTGGGCTTCTGCTTGGGTGCTGTGGTGCTGCTGTCGTCTCATCTCCAGCTGATGCCGGTACCCAGCATCACAAGACTTGGAGGCCGAGTCAGGAGGAAAAGAACACACTCGTCAAAGTCTGGATTAACTCCTGGGAACCAGGAATTCAGAAAGAAGAAGCACTTGGTTTTCTCTATTTATGTCACCTTCACGGTTCGAGGCTGCAAGCTGGGACTGGGGTACAGAGGAGGAAAAGACAGATGTGTTGCCCACTTTCACGAGGCTTAGAGCCCAGCACAGTTGTCTGTTGTGGAATTTACAAAATGGTGGGCAGCTGCCCAAGGCATATGTGTTTTATTTGGCCCGAGTGGAATCATAAATTTTTTGTTTGTAGTTAGTTGCCAGTGTTTAAAATCTGGAAGAGTTCATATAAAACTCCAGATTTCTGGCTTCTCTTGACAAATCAGAAGAGCCGGCGACTCGAGGTGCAGTGCCAGGCCGGCGGCAATTTGCCATAACTGAGTCGTGGCTGTCCCCTCTTCATCGCAGACCACGCTACCACACTTCTCCCGGCTGCTTTCCCAGCACCGAGAGCCAGTGTCAGATCCCATTTTCGTCACAAATTTTTCTTATTGTAGAGCTAAGAGGCATGCTCCCCAAGTTAATTACACCTGCAAAGACTCCTTTTTTTCAAATAAGACATCGTGATACCAATGTCTTTATCAAAATATTTTTTTTCATGCCTTCACTTCACTCCTTTCTATAATGGGCTGGCTCCTAAAGGCACCTGTTGGTGACATGTGGATGGTTTCTTTCCTGTAAAAAGGTAGAACCAGCCCCTGGAGGTAGGAATGACTGCTATTCAGCAGAAGGTAGATACAATGTCTGTTCTTTGTGAACAGGATTTTCATGATCTGAAATGATACTGAGGCACTTTTATGGTAAAGTCAATTTTATTTTGTTTAGGAAAAAACTTCAGGTGACAAAGTATAGGTAAAACAATATATGATCTGATATACGAAGTCCTTAATTTAAATGTATTCAGTAGCTGCTAGAACTGTGACTGCAATATTCCCTGGAGCATATTAGATGACTGATAAATATTTGCTGAAGGAATGAATAACTCAAGAATGAAACATTAGGATGCCAACTTCTTTTTTTAAAGGAGGTAAAAGAAAAAATACATTCTTAACAAACATCCTTTGCATCTGAGTCTTCTTTTGCTTCTTCCTCCTTTCTCTTTCCCCTCATTCCACACCCATGTACATTAAGCCTTTCTCTTTAGACAAAGTATGTTAGAGGACATTGTTCATGCCTAAATGGTCAAAGAAAGGAGCCGGCATTTGGTTATCTGTGTTGCTGATGAGGTGGGTGTGATTCATCAAGTGTCCCAGCATTGAAGGACATGGGTGGGACTTGTCCAGACTTATTTTAAGCCTTATTTTAAGGGACTTTTATGATCATTCCCATTTTACAGATGCAGAAACTGAGTCTCAGTGAGGAAATAACTTGCTAAAGTTTACAGAGCTAGCCAATGGCAGGCTCAGTGTTTGAACCAGCCTGACTGGTTCAAACAGAGTTGCCTGACTGCAAAACCTCTGCCCTCATGTATGAGCTCCACTGCCTCCCTGAATGATTCCTGTAGCACTTAGAGTGGAGTGGCTTACTTCACATTCAGCATTGCTCCTTTTATTGGTACGAACACATCTTTTTGTGTTCAGGTCCTATTTATTCAAATGAATTGTGAGGCCCTTGAGGGCAAGAAATGATTTTATATCATTTTGCATCACCAGGCCTTAGCACAATGCTCTCAAATTACAGGAATCTAGTTAATTGCTCCTTTATTTCCACAGTTCTTTAATCCAACCTCCCAGGCAGCATTTATTACAAATTTTATTTTATGCATCTGTCCTACTTGCCCCTCTTTAATCATTAAGTATCCCTCATCTGTAAGTCAGGACGTCACACCGAGGAGATGCTCAATAAACATTGTTGAGGAATTGAGCTGCTGGTCTTTCTGATGCTGCTGAGCACACCAGGATTAACGTTTCCTTTTGTAAATTTCATTTTCCACCCCTCCGTGGTGTCTTTTTATTGTTCGGCATTCACTCAGTTTACTGTATTAGACATTGAATTGAAATATTCAAATTGAAATCTATTTCAGCAATGTAAATAAATAAATACAATCCAACATGATTATCTCTCCCTTCTAATATTGTCGTAGCTTTCTCTGGATCTCTATCACACGGAAGATGATATTTACAAACTGTCACTGGTGCTGGAGCCTAGAAATTCTAAATCGGTAGGTATTGTTTTCTCTCTAAAAATCAGTGCCAAACACCATTTTTGGATCACTTACAGTAATTGGCTGCTACAGTGTTGCTTTGTGTTCTAAAGACTGAAGAATTTTAGAAATTGATATTATTCCCACTTTGTCAGTGAAACAGCTTAGCCCTGACAGTTTGAGAATTATTTCTTTATATCAGAGGCAAATAAAGAAGAAGAACATCATTCTCATTATTCTGTTTTATTATTGATCTTCTATTTATTGTGTCCTTGCTGAGAACTCAGCTATACATAGGACCAAAAAGAAAAAAAAAAAACAAAGAATAGTAACTCATCTTAATGTTAAATATCATTTAGACTCTTCCAGGCTTTCAGAAAACTCCATTCAACATAAAATTTAGATTTGATACACTTTAATTTTGATCATAATTCACAAATTTCTCTACAAGTGATTGACTCAGCTCAGAATTTCAATATCACATTGGATAGTGTCTCACATCATCAATGGCTGACTCTCAAGAAGTAAACACTAAATAATGAAACTGAGGAAATTGCATTATTCAATGTACACTGCTTATTAGTTTTAGTAAGTGAACTATATTTTAGACATGTTTTACACTAGCAAAAAATGCCTTGGTGAATTTAAAATATACAGTGAGGATGAGGTTTGCTTGTTTTTTGTTTTTTTTTATTTTTGAGACAGAATTTTACTCTGTTGCCTGGCCTAGAGTGCCATGGCATCAGCCTAGCTCACAGCAACCTCAAACTCCTGGGCTCAAGCAATCCTCCTGCCTCAGCCTCCCGAGTAGCTGGGACTACAGGCATGCACCACCATGCCCGGCTAATTTTTTCTATGTATGTTTTTAGTTGTCTGGCTAATTTCTTTCTATTTTTAGTAGAGATGGGGGTCTCACTTTTCCTCAGGCTGGTCTCGAACTCCTGAGCTCAAACAATCCACCTGCCTCAGCTTTCCAGAGTGCTAGGATTACAGGTGTGAGCCACTGCGCCCAGCCGAGGTTTGCATGTTGAAGGAAAAGATGTGTATGTTTGCTTCTTATAATTGTATCTCGAGATCAATTTTCTTATAAAGATCTCATGTGTGACCTACCTTCTCACCAGCTGTAGCACGTTCTCTGTAGCACGTTGGCAACAACTACACCCCCTAAGTCTGTGAATACCTGCTATGAGTCCAAACCATCGGACTGAAGGAGACTGAAGGACAGCTGTTCACTGGCCCTGGCAGGGCATGCACTTAAGTCTGAGTCAGTTGACCTGGTAGTATCTGATCTTAAAATAATTCGTGTGGTGGTTCCATGAGCGTGTTCTATTTCCTTCTAGTGTGTAGAGGTGTCTCCTGAGAATTCTGCAGAATGGGGCCTCGAAGGATGACTGGGCGCAGGCAAAGGGAGGAGTGCAGACCTAGACTCTAGAGTTAGCATGACAGAGAGCTAGCAAGAAAGGTAAAGGTACTGAATAAAAGGAGTTTGTAAGCTGCTCCATCATTCCATAGCTTTGGCACGATGAACCTGGCCATGGTGTGTGAAGATGTGCTATATACAGAATTTCCCCCTCCTGACACCTTCCTTTGCCTTTACCAGGTGTGATCGCTACCAGTTGTTGGACGCCTGTCAGGGCATCATACACACGTCATCTCATTAACTCTGTTAATGTGCTCCCCAGGTCTGGGGAACACAGGTGTCTTAGTGGATCACACAGCCAGAAAGTTGGAGAACTGGGCTTTGGTTTCAGGCCTGTCTTCAATCCCAGTGCTGTTTCTACCACCCCTCACGTAAGGAACAGGGTAGGAATGACCATTTTAGAACACTTGCCTGCCTGTGCACCTTTAGATTTACTTTAGCTTATTTTCAGGATACATTTTTGCCAATTTTAGGGAACATGTCTGTCAGAAACACAAAAGTCTTTTTATTTATTATAAAAGCAGAAGCTTTCAAAGTCCTTTCCAAGTGCTAAAACCCTGTGACTCTATGGAAACACATTTCCCCTTTCTGTCTCTTCTCTAAGTGGAGTGCCATCCTATCTGACATGTGCTGATAACTAGGGAATTCTTTCCAGTTGGGATTCTATCGCCAAGAGCCTGTAGCTTTACTGTGCTTACAGGTGGTGCTGGCTGACCTAAACTAGATAGTGAGTCCCAGAGGTACTCAACCTTTTTCTCTTCCTAACGGCTCACTAGTTCTTTGTGTTTTACTATCTCAGCAGTTTTTTCCATGGCACCCCTAGGTCAAAAAAAAAAAAAAAAGAAAGAAAGAAAATACCCAACTGTTCCACTTACAGAATAGCTAGATCCAAACAGCTTAATAACTATTTGTGTTCTAACAACTTGGTACACACTTGAAAAAATAATATATTTACATTTGAAGAAAACTAATATGTTTATTTTATTCTTAAATAACCAGAGTTATTTAACAATGGATGTGTGTGCCTGCTGGACACTACGGTTTCTTAAATGTTGAAATCAGACCAGATAATGCCACCCTTATTTCTTGCCCCTCATTGAAAACTTCTGCTCTTACAATAAATAAAAAGACTTTTGTGTGTTTGATGGAAATGTCTTCTAAAATTGGCAAAAATTTATCCCAAAAATAAGCTCGAGTAAATCCAAATTTTGTTCGTTGCAAGAAGTGTAGTATGATCTAATGGGGGACTGTGAGCAACTTCAAGGTGGTAGTTCTTGTGGCATCCAGCAAATACTGAGTATCTCCATATTTCACGTTTGTAATATCTTTTGGTGCCTGTCTGAATACACTGTAGTGCTCTGGAGCACCTTGCTGTACAATTGGGGGACTGTGGGCTTATCCTTTACCTGATCAATAAGCTGAAAATCCTGATAGGAAGAGGCCTGGTGTGTGTGTGTAAATGTGTGTGTGAGTGTAGGGGTGAACATAGCCAAAAGGCAGATAATTTTTGGTTTTGTTGGTCACCCATAGGGTACTAGTAACACCCACTTCCCAACATTCTTAGGGGCTTAAATGAGTATGGTTGTGCCTCAGTTCTTCTTGCAAAAATGTTTATCTGCCATTCATTATCAAATTAAAAACTTGCTGTTAAGGGTTTGCATATGTGCACCAACAAAAATGCTGACATCATATGAGGGTTTCAGAGAAGGGATAGAAAGTGCACTGTAGCCTTCGCTGGTCTCCTGGTAGGAGGGTGTTGTGTGCTTGTGTTGTTCAAACCTGTGATGCATTATGCCACCAACTTCCTCACATTATGAAGTGCAAATATCTTGAAAAGCAAGTGGAAAAACCTTTGGGGAAAGGAGGTTCACCAAAGAGGGCCAGAGAGACCTAATGATTAGCAGAGCCGTCAGAAGTGATTAAACATGTTCAATGAGGTGCAGGTATAAGGACATGAACTTGGCCACACACTGGTACCCATCAGCTACGTGCACCAACTAATTGATCACTAATACCAAGTATTAAAGAATTAGATAATTGATATTTATTTATCTGGTATTATAGAAACATCCAAGATGGATGGTTATATAGAGGTTTCTAGGATGTCTTAGTTATATTTGGGGAACTTGGGTAGGATTTTTGGATGGACTGGGAAAGGATTTTTTTTTCTGGTTTAAAATATTATAATAGGCTGGGCATGGTGGCTCACGCCTGTAATCCTAGCACTCTGGGAGGCCGAGGCGGGCAGATGGTTTGAGCTCAGGAGTTGAAGACCAAGCAAGACCCCTGTCTCTACCAAAAATAGAAAAAATTAGCCGGCCATGGTGGCACATGCTACATGTGTCCCAGCTACCATGCTACCGAGTCCCAGCTACTTGGTAGGCTGAGGCAGGAGGATTACTTGAGGCCAGGAGTTTGAGGTTGCTGTGAGCTAGGCTGATGACACGGCATCTAGCCAGGGCAACAGAGTGAGACTCTGTCTCAAAAATAAATAAATAAATATTATAATAAAATTTAGGCTGCTGCTAAACAAAAGGCATTATCCAAACATGTATTTAGTTACAGATTTGATTCCCTCAACAAAAGGTATTTGTTTTATAAACATTTAAGTGCTACATAAATGTAATTTCGACTGGTATTAGAAATATACGAAACCTATGTGTCTTTCTCAGTGTCCCTGGTGCTAGTGGCTCAGGGCCGCAGTTAGAGCTGAGAACTGTGTGTGTTTTCTGTCAGCAGCCGACCTCCCCGACCACGCCCAAGCCCGTGGTGCCCCTGGAGTGGGCGTCGGGGGTGATGCCGAAGCCGGACCCCACAATCATCAACAAGCACATACGGAAATTAGTGGAGGTAAGTGCTTGAGGGAGAAAAAAGGGAGAGCACTAGAAGGTCCCTTTCTCTTTCCAGAGTGTTCTGCAATTGTCCAGGAATGAGGCGGAATCCATGAAAACAGCCCTCTGGCAGGTAGGAACCATTCAGCGGACACTCAGCTCCACCTGGCTTCGCCTCTGGGGAGAATCTGTCCGAAAGGCCTGTCCCCTTTCCCACCAGTGTGTTCTCCCTGCCCAGGGCCTCTCTGCTACTTCCGGCTCCTCTCTTTCCCAGGCGTTGGTTGCCACTTACTCAAGGGACCGTTTGGGGATTCGAATCACTCACAAAAAATTCACATGGGTCACAATAAAATGCCCAATAAGTTGGTTTCCTGAGGGCGGGAAAACAATCCTGTAAATTGGATAGTTTCCCAAAACTGCTGTGTTCTGGGCATTTTATGGCATCAGCACAACGCCACTGAGGTCAGAAAAATCACCTGTTGTGGGACAAGCCTCTGTCCGAGTTTTCCATGTACACAGAAGAGAAGAAATGGCAATGTAGGGAACGTGGAAACATCTCAGGCACAGGAAACTGTGATCCCTGATTACACGTCTACTTTAATGGATTGGTAGGTACATCCTCTGGTGCAATAGGTCTGAGTCTTTGGCATATAATGCACTTTTTGCTGGGAAGGGATGTTTAAAGAAAAAGAATGTTCTAATACATCTTGGATAATCCAGGGAACTACGAGGCACTGAAAGAAAAGTTTTATGGAATGTGTGAGACAGGAAGGGAAAGATTAGAAAGGGTGGTGCCAGGAGGAATTTGGGTGAAGGAAGGGGCTGAGAAGGAGGTAAGGCCCAGTGGAGGCCAGGTGATGGTAAGAACAGACCCAACCTGCAGCCGGGGAAGGTGGGGAAAGGATCCAGGGGCCTCAGGGAAGGCAAGGACTCAGCTGCAGTTTAGGAATGTCTGACACCAGGAAATGGAAGGCAGAACAATTCTCTTCCAATCTCATTCTGCAAACTGACTGCTTTTGCCCCTGCCACATGGGAAGCCTCAGTTTGTCTCTCTCTTTCTGTCTCTCATTCTCTCTTCTGTTTTATTACGATTTTTCATTGTAAATTTTATTCCGCAAAAAATCTGGTACTCTTAATATATATATGTCAAACTATAGATAGTAGGCACTGAAAAATAATTAACTTCTAAGCAATTTCAATTATAGATAAGTATTTATATTGGGATTTTCAAAAATAATGTAATGTTTTGTGGGTTTTGTAATTATAATTCAGTTATTTATGGATAAACTTGCAGTGGGAGCTAATGACCCATTTTAGTCATATTTTTAATTCATTAATTCATTTACACCTTGCTTATTTGCCAAAGTACTCCTGAAGCAGCTTGTAGCATAGGACAATATAGATATTAATAAATAAAATAGAAACCATTGGGAAAGAGGAGAAAATTTAATTATAACTGGAATCCAACTCAAATATACATTTGCATACATGTGTTTGCAGAAAGAATATACAGTTTTTTTGAAAACCTAATTTAGCAAAGGGCATTGAAAAACCTTTTTAATTTTTCTCTGATTATAAAGGAAGACAGATCATTGTAAACATTAAAACATTACATAAATGATAGAAAATAAAAAGCTTTACTTTCAGGCCTTGGTAATTCTATTCTCCAGAGATAACTAACCACTGATGATTTGTTTATTATCTTGCATGACTTTATGCTCTCTCTTTCTCTTTACATATATACACATACATACACACACACATACATACTGCATACATACATACATGCATATCTTTGAGCAATCTTGTTCAATTATTTCCTTAGAACAGATTCCCAGCAGTGGAATTGCTGTGTCGGTGAGTGGGCACTTCAAGTGATTGTCCTCCAGGAAGATTGTGGCTACTCATTTCACTAACTTGCTATAAGAGTACCTATTGTTTCATACCCTAGAAAATTATCAATTACAGTATTTTAATGTTTTATTTAATCTGAGACTTAAAAAAATGTTCCATTTACATATCTATAGTTCTTAGCAGAGTTGAACACCATTCCTTGAATTTATTGGCCATTTGTATTTTTATTTTGGTGAATGCTTGTTCAACTTTTGTGTCTGCTCTCACATATGTTGCAAATAACTTGCTCTGTTTGTCATTTGTTTTTAAATTTGTTAATTGAGCTTTTTTGAGTTCAGATATTTTGCATTCTTTTCTTTATGGCTTCTGACTTTGATGTCATGCTAAAAAAGGCCTTTCCCACACAGAGATTATGAAAAATGAAAACTATTTTCATCTATTTATCTTTGATACTTTTATAGATTTTTTTTACAATTAAAATATTTAATATATCTAGAATTTATTTGGGGGATGATTTATTTTGTAAGATTATTAACCATTTAACTAAACAATTATTAAATAATCCATAATTTCCCTGTGGATTTGAAAAGATACTTTTTGATACTTTAGATTCCTACGTATGCATGGGTCTATTTCTGGACTCCATTCTCTGTAATAACCTGTGTCCTATTGTTTAGATTAATGTAGCTTTGTAAAATATTTGCTTTCTGGATAGGCATGGTCCCCCTCATTACTCTTCATTTTAAACAATTTTTAGCCTATTCTTAACAGATTCACTTCTATTTGAACTTTAGAATTAATTTGTTCATTTACAACAAATTCCTACTGGGATTTTGATTGGAATTGCATTAAATGTATACTTTAAATTCAGAGATACTTTAACATCTTAAAGCTTCATTTTCTATTGTCAGTGTATTGGAATCGTATTGGAATTTGTAAATATACCCCTCTTAAGTCTTCTTGATTTAGTTATCTCTCACTAGATTCTAAGGAAGGATAATATGTTAGTTATCATTACTTTCACAATAACAAGTTCAGAACCTGACTCAGAAAGAGTCATTCAATAAATACTTGTCCTTTTTATTTTTTTTTTTGCAGTCTGTGTTTAGGAACTATGATCATGACCATGATGGGTACATCTCCCAAGAGGACTTTGAAAGTATAGCTGCCAATTTTCCCTTCTTGGATTCCTTCTGTGTGCTGGACAAAGATCAGTAAGTTTTAATTTTATTATTTTTTAATTCAACAGTCCTAAAGCAGAAAGTTATTATCAGAGAACAGCAGGGAAACCTACAGTTTACATCTTGACACCTTCAAACGTTTAAGACAGCATTGATGAGACATATCTAATTTGCCACTGATTTTATTCTTGGTGTTTACGATCAGTTGGATGGAATCACAGGGCAGACCACATACCAGCTTTAAACAGGTGTCCATTTGCAAATTAGTCTGGCTTTCCATTTCTTATGTCACACTTCTACTGCTTAGCTCTTAGCACCAAAAAGCCTCCATTAAAAAAGAATAGAGGAGAAATATAGTTAGATCTAGCCTGGGGGAGTCCTCAGCATTAGTGGACCTTAGGGTGATCTTAAAATTCATTAAATTTTTTTAAGATTATTTATGGTCTTCATGAAAGCGGATGATAGCTGCAGATGACCAAGAAGCATACTTTGTTTTTTTTCTGATCAAAAGTTGTCTTGATAAATGAAGAAACAAATCATTTTTTCTTTAGCTTCAAATGATTCCTGGAAAATTAAATGGCTTTAGAAACCAAGACCAAACTCATTTAAAAAAGTGATTCAAAAAAAAATACTGAGAAAGCCTGGCATTAATAATCTGATTAATTTTTAATTGTATGAGATCAGTTGAACTATTCATTGTTTGCTTACATGACTTCCTTTGTCAGACAATGTGATACCTTAAGTTAATACCTCAAACTTTACCATGGCTAACCATACTAAAGTTTTGAGTGGCTAATATTGGAAAGTCTCAAAAAGAAAATGTTTTCTGTAAGTTTTTGTTTTCCAAACTGTTCCACAGAAGTTATTAATTAGTACTTTATTTTTTATTTTATTTTATTTAGTTATCTTTTTGAGACATAGTCTCACTCTGTTGCCTGGGCTAGAATGCCATGCCATCAGCCTAGCTCACAGCAACCTCAAACTCCTGGGCTCAAGTGATCCTCCTGCCTCAGCCTCCCAAGTAGCTGGGACTAGAGGCATGTGCCACCATGCCCGGCTAATTTTTTATTTTTAGTAGAGGTAGGGTCTCACTCTTGCTGAGTCTGGTCTTGAACTCCTGACCTCAAGTGATCCTCCCCCATCAGCCTCCCAAAGTGCTAGGATTATAGGCATGAGCCACCACACCCGGCTTATTTGGTACTTTTGTAAAAGGAATTAACTAGGCAAGTGTGAGAAACACAGGGTTAAATCTCATTAAATAGGTGTCTCTACTGTGCAACTTCCCAAAACTTTCAATAGGCTAAAGTGTGTTGCACTGTGATTCCCTAGGGGGTAGATGAGCTATGCACTGTTTCACAAATTGATTTTCTATATTTACATATATGTATATATTTACCAAAGAACCTTTCCCTTTCCCTGCAGTCCCTACTAGCATCTCAAGAATCTGTTTTTCCACAAAAACCTCCTTGGGATCTGTTATTTTAGGCAACATTTAACTTTTAATCTCCCTCCCATGGAAGAAAGATCTCAGGAGGAAGAAGTCATAGGTTTGGGGCCATATTGGGAGGTTTTGATGGGTCATTGACCAAATAAAACTCCTCCATTCATTCAGATACAAATCCTTTTAGAACTCCACTTAAAGACCAGAGAAAACCCTGTCTCTTTGGTTACGAGAATGGAGGGAGAAGGGTGGTGAGCACTGTGGGTTCTCTGGGTCAATGCCAGGGCCAGTCGGCACTCATGGAAACTGGCCTCACCATCCCGGGAACTCACGTACCCATTGATGACGTGTGCAAATCCCCACCATAAGCTGGGGATGGATTTCTTTGCAGAGGGATATGGGATATTTCCAGGTGCCTAAGATCCCAGCAGTTTCTATAATAGAAAAACCTCAAACTTTCAGAAGCTTCACACACTGAAGTTTTATCCTCATGTATGTAAGAGTCCAGTGTTTCTGGTGGCTGGTCAGCATTCCCCTTCCTGATAATTCCTGAACTAGCTTTTTCTATCTTGTGGTTTTGTCCTGGACTCCCATGCGTACCTCTTGGCAGATGAGAGAAGAGAAGATAGAGAAGCACAACAGTTTCTTAAACTCCTTGGTCTTGAAATATCATATTTCATATATGCTCAAGTTGGTTTGATGTCACATGACCTGCACCTAGGTTCAAGAAAGGCTGGAAAATGTAGCTCCTGGCTGGGCAGCTACTTTGTAGCAACTGATCTATAGGGACCAGGCACATACTAGGCAACACGCATTGTAACACACATTGCTCCTCTTTTCTCTATAAAGCCAGGAAAGGGCCTGAGCCAGGGTTGCTGCCTGGGTATTGTGCTCCAGCACCCTGTTCACTTTGTGTTCTGCCCCTGAGTTTTGTGACTTGGTGGTGCTATGTCCATATCTGTATGCATCTATAGCATCGATATCTCTATAATCTGCTAGCCTATATAAATAACTTCATCACGAATATACTGCCCCTTATGTGTGTTTGTGATTACAGTGACTGTGGGATACTTCGCTCTTTTTGAGATCAGCAAGACATGCTGTGACTCTTTAAATTTTATATATTTTAAGTATTATTAAAGTTATTTTGCCTAAAGGCTGAGAAAGCAATCTTAAATTCTCAAGCAAGGGGGGGGGGGTAGGGCGAGGGGGGCGGGGGCAGGAAGTGGGAGAATTATAGCATTGCAGATAGCAATGGGGAAGCCTAGGGTAGGGAGTGTTGGGAAGAAAGATACAGAGTTTGGCTTAGATATGTTGATTTGATCACCAGGAAGAGATGTCCAAAGAGTTGTTGCAGATGTGGTACCAAAATTCAGGAGACCAGTCAGGGCTGCAGATGTAGATTAAGTCTTCAGCCCAGTGGCATGAACTGGAGTCTCAAGTATGTGAGCAAACTCTGGCGGGGAAGTTTAGAGGGAAGTGAGCCCCAGGCCTGAGGAAGGAGCCCTTGGCGGACCCCCTTTGGACGTGTAGCAACCAAAAGGAATAAGTCCTTTTGGCTGGGTCCTGCAGAAAAGCCTGAGAAGGGGGAGCAGGAGAGGGAGGAGAAAAATCAGGGCTATATGGAATCACAGGGGTTCCTAAAGGAGAGGGTGTCAAAAAGGAGGAGATATGCCCCTTGTCACCTGCTGCCAATAAGAAAAGGTCATGGAGGATGTCCCTGGTGACAGTTTCAATAGAATGATTGGGTTAAAACCCCTATAATATGGAGCAAAGAGCAAATGGAGGAAAGGAAAAAAGAGTCTAATATTCTTTTTGAAAACTTTGGGAGTAAAAAGAAGGACGAGAGAAAAGACAAGTGCTGGAGAAAGCAGCAGGATTGAGGAAAAAGATTTTTTACAAGGGAAAGTCCTGTGCCCGTTTGTAAAGTGAGGGAAAAACAAAGGAAGAGACTGAGCAGAACCTAGAAGGGGCAGAGCCCTGCGGGTGCAGGAGAGTGGGGGTGGGAGAGAGAGGACCCCAAGAGAGGACAGAGGAGACACAAAGGAAAGGCGTGATCTCCAGCACCAACGTGGAGGGAAAGCAATATGGAGCTCACCCATGTCAAGTGGATTTGATCTTTTCTGATAAACAAGAAGTCAGGATATGTATGTGGTGAGTCAGGGGTAGGGAGGTGAGGAGAACCGGAGGTTTGTTCTGTGTGGAGACGATCTGGAAGAATTGCTCTAGCAAATGGCCTATGAGCCAGTAAGAAGTAAATGAAAATATCACCATGGGAGTAGCCTGGATGGAATCAAGCTGAATGAACTTGAAAATGGCAAATGCAGTTATTACAGTGTCCTGCCTTTCTCCAGCATCCTAATTCTTGCAACTCTGCTGCTAGGCAAGGGCTAGAAAGATGTCCTTCTGGAAGCTGCTATTCGCTAATGAAGAAGATTTCTGTGCTGTGGTGCACAGGCCACATGTATGCACACACGGGTATGGTCAGGCTGGCACATACACACACACCATCTTCTGCTTACCGAAAAAGACTTTGAACACCTGAAGCTGTCCTTTGAAGTCCTCCCCTCCTTTCGGATGTAACAGAGAAGTGAACATTCCTCATCTGCTTTTGGCCACAAAGGGTTGGGAGGTGCATGATTAAAGTATGGTGACTATTTAGCAACATGATATTCAAAGATCCCTTCCTTTCTTGATTCTTTTAACAGGGATGGCCTGATTAGTAAAGATGAAATGATGGCTTACTTCCTGAGAGCTAAATCCCAACTACACTGTAAAATGGGACCGGGATTTGTCCATAATTTTCAGGAGATGACCTATCTCAAGCCAACCTTCTGCGAACACTGTGCAGGATTTGTAAGTCTGTTTTCCATTATTTTCTTTGGTATGTAGTTATTTGGGTGGGGTTCAGAGAAGGTAGAAAAATGATACACTAAATAGAGTCCATCGACTACTTTGGATCAGAAGGAAAACATGATGGCTCCCTGAAATTAGAGATTAAATAAAAACAAAAGCAGTATCTATGCATTTAGCTATGTTCTAGGAATGCCGGGCCGGCAAAGACAGGGAAAGCTGGTGAAGCACATTAAGTCAAGAGACTGATTTGTCTGTGAATCCCTGCCAGGGAACTGTGTCAGCCCAGTAAGCAGTGGCATTCATCACCGATATTTGTAAGTGGTTGCAATTAAGGGGAGCATTTATCTTAGCCAGTTCCTCCCAGTGCTCATTTCATATAGTATTAGTCACTAGAAATCCATCATGGCTTTGCTCAATAATTCACAACTCAAAAAGGAAAAGATATTTTTGGGGAGAAGATGGTTATAATAATAAATTACATTTACTTAACACTTGCCAGCAATAAAAACTTCCATAGACATTAATGTAATTAATCCTCACAACGAATTCTTCAGGGAGGCATTGTACTCTCTCTGTCATGGCTGTGAAGACAGAGAGGTTCAGAGAGGATAACCAAGTTCTCCAGGATTGCACAGCTAATCCTTACCAGAGCTTGGGCTCGAGCATAGGTGTTCTGACGCTGAGTCCTGTGCTCTACCTACACTGCAGCACATGATGACCGTATGCTTCCTTCCCCATATTTGATAATTCTTGGGAAACTGAGGTCACTCTGTGCTGGTGCTACATTATTGGTGCAGCTGTGGTGAAGTGGAAAGCTCTGGACTTGGAATCTGGAACCCTGAGTTTGAATCTTTGTTTTACTCGTTGCTAATTCTATATCCTTGACCAAGTTATTAACCATCTTAGAGTTTGTTTTCCTATCTGCAAAAGGGAGTTCATATTACCCGCCATGTTGTTGTGGTGATAATATCAGAGATCTTGCATGTCCCTTAGCTCAGAGTGTGTGACATTTCTTTTTTTAGTGTTCCTTGATACTTTTGGAGTTTCATGAAAATTAACTCACTTTTAATTTTTATGGCTTTTCTAATTTTTAAAAATATATTTAATTTAATTTTTACCAATTAAACATATTTAATTGGTACAATTTGATTTGATCTTTACTCACACAACATTTTTTAAAGTCCATTGGTTTTCAAAGGAATTTATAAATATAACTATATAGGTGTGTCATTGTGGGGGAATGCAAGGAGCTGTCCTCTAGTGCCTGGACCATCTGCTTTTGAAATAAATTCCCTTTTAAGGGTAAGGAAGACAACAGACGCCACTTGCTCTGCAGTGGATTTATTTTACAGTTATAATTCCGGAACTAGAAGCGTGTTGGTAACTCCCTTATTTGTAGATGAATAAACTGAGGTCTGGAGAAGTTAAGTGACTTGCCCAAGGTCACAGGGACCACTAGCAACAAGACCATGAGTCATATCCAGGACTCCTGACTTTCAGTCCAGTGCTCCTGACACCACAGTTACTCTGAATATTACAGCAGCCCGTGGTCTCAAATCAAAGGACTGTGGGAAATACTTCCTGCACATCACACCCACCTACATGAGGTCACCCTCTACTGTCCTTGATCAGCACACTGCCCCGATGCCTCTTCCTGGCTAGTGTTTTCTCCTGGTTAAGTAAGCTTTAGCAAACCATGGCCTGACTTCTTCTCCTGGTAGGCTTGACTATGTCTTGCTCAGCAGTTCCTGTGGCTATGCTAATCACACAACATACCCAGACATTAGGATGCCTCCTCTTAAATTTTATCCTTTCTTGTCCTGCCTCAGTGGCTTTTGGTTACTCACAAAGTACCCAGGAGCAATGGCTTCCTGTCTTTCCCTCAAGTGTGACACATCTTTCCCTAATTACTCCCTGTAAGACTTTGCCAAGTGACTTCACTTCCCTGTAGGTCAGTTTCCTCATCTTTAAAAATGAGAAAAATATTATTACCTATCCCATAAGGCTATTACAAGCATTAAATGAGTTAATATGTGTAAAGAGCTTAACACTGTGCCTTTCACACAGCAAGAGTTCCATAAATGTTAGCTACATCATTATTATTGTTACTACCATTACCCAAGGGCTCTGGGAAAAGAATTTCCAGGTTGTGGGACCTTGCAAATTATTTAGTTTCCTGGATCATTGCATTCACCTTCTATAAAAGAGAAGTAAACCAGATTATCTTGAAGATGTGGTTATCCTGACAACCGTTCCCCTTTTCTGTATCTCGCCCATCACCTCTGCCAGCCATCCTGAACCTTGTTTCCAGTTGGCTGTCAAATAATCCTTCCTGTCTCCAAGGCAAAATGTTGCCCTGTCCCAGGAGGTATTTGTGTCTCAATAATGTATTTTGAAGGCCCCGATGACTTTTAAAGCTGGAAGGAATCTTTGAGCTCTCCGTTGGTGGAGTGTCCTTATCCAGAAGAGGGTAAGGAGCTGTTTTTCTGGTGCCCCTGAGTAAGTAGCTGCAAATTGGCAGCTTGCACTTTTTATAGGGCCATGCCACCCATGCTTGCACTTTTGTTCTCCTATAATACTCTATGAATGGCACCTTCATCAGTCTCAGGAGGACACTGTCCCTGCTTTTTTCAACATCATTTTATTTTATTTTATTATTATTTTTTGAGACAGGGTCTCGCTCTGTCACCCAGGCTGGAGTGCAGTGGTGTCATCAAAGCTCACTGCAACCTCAAATTCCTGGGCTTGAGCGATTCTCCTGCTTCAGACTCTTGAGTATCTGGGACTACAGATGCGTGCTACCACACCCGGCTAATATTTCTGTTTTTTTGTACAAATGGGGTATTGCTCTTGTTCAGGCTGGTCTCAAACTCCTGGCCTCAAGCGACCCTCCTGCCTCAGCTTCCCAGAGTGCTAGGATTACAGGCATGAGTCACCACGCCTGACTGAGTATCATTTTATTAAGTAGACAACAGCCACCTAACCTAACCACTAAAAAGTTAGCAATAGAGTGTCTCCGACTTGTGCTAAGCCCATTTAATTATCAATACGGTACATTTCTGGTGTCCCTATTACCCTGGCCAAGTGCTGTGGGGAGGCAGAACAAAGGACATGGCAAGGCCCCCTTCTTCGTGGAGTTTAGGAGGCTGTCAGGTGGGCAAAGTGACCACCACCGAGACGAGAGCCTGGGCACACACTCCCTCTGTGAGCGGCAGCCCCTCCCGTCTCTCCCGAGGCACGTGTCACTTCCTACTTGCTAACCACACAGATGTCACTGATTCCTTGGTTGGCGGAATCGGAACTTTTTCCGCATCTCCCACAGCCCTGGCACAGGCCAAACACAGAGCAAACGTGGAGAATGAATACATGAACAAATAGGTCATTTCCTCTTCTGCAGTCTTTCAAGGCACAAATACTACTTTACAAAATAACCTGGCAAGATCCCAGTGCTTCAGCGTGGCGTGCGCTTCGTACGTGGCTGTCTCCTGCGGTGGGCTCCGAGAGCAGTTCTCGTTAAAAAGAGGGAGCGAGGGGCTTCCAGAAACAAAGTGTCCATCTCCCCTGTAAATATGGCCGAAAGCACATCATGCCAAAGTCCAACAAATGTACCAACTTTAGTTTTCCATCCTGGCTCCCAGCTGGCTCTGAGAGAGAAAAGGGAAGCAAAACTCGTGTTATCACCACAGCTGGAGCGGCTGGGAGAGGGCTCTTCTACCCGGCAGGAAGGGTGTTAAGAGCAGCTACATCCTGTTTGTGCCCGGCTGGTCATCAGGTTTACCAGGACTTCCTCCTCTGTGGCCTTCTTTCCCTTTCAGATTTCTCTTCGAATTCCCTGACATTCCTTTGTCTTTTGTTACAGCTCTGGGGCATAATCAAGCAAGGATACAAATGCAAAGGTAAAGAAATGTTATGTTGTCACCATTTTTTAAAAGTTGGCATTTTGGGTAGGAATCAAATTTGTCCAGTGAATCCACGAAAGCTGTTGGCATCACTGAGAACTTGGGTCTTTGGGGCCAATATTCAAATTGCATCGCACGTGTTAAAAACCACCCTTATCAACACGTGTAAATCCAGCCCTTGTGCATCAGCAGCATCCAGTGAAGGTAGGAATTCTGAAGTGGGACAGGCCTTCCTAAAATACTACATATAACAACTTTTTTCTGCAAGGAAGAAACCCACACACTCATTTCTTTTAATATAATTCATAGACATTTCTTCCCACTCGCACATAGCGATTTCTTTTTTTTACCAAATCACATAGATGATGAGGAAAAAAAAAGAGAAGAAACCTTAAAACTTATTTTTGTCCCTTTCAGTGAATGTGTCTCTCTATCTACCTTTTTTAATTGAAATTTATAAACAATTGAATAAATGTATATTTGACAAATGCAATATGAATGTGTAGGAAGCATTTTGCTACTTGTATGTGTGTGATTATTACACTTTATTGGTGTTTAGTTTAAGATGTTGCTAGATGCTTTATGCAGAAGGACCAATTTATACGGGTTCTTTTAAGAATCTGATAACATTCTTGAAAAATATAATACGACTACAAAAAGAACTCTCTCATCAATCACGGGATGCCTTCAGATGAATGCTGCTCCCCTTGCGATGCCTTTTTTTCTGCAGCCACCTTTCAGTAATTGGTCCTCATGGTGCGTGAGCAAACAGCTTCCCTGTTGGAAGGGAGCCACTTTTCAGTGCTCAGAAGGACCTTCCCTTTGATGTTTCTAAAACATACAAGACATGCATGTGGGAGCTCGTACACACACACACACAAACACGCACACATGCACATTGTTTTATGAAGGTGAAAATCAGTTAAGCCCTTGGATCATCTTTTGTTTTCTCTTAATGGCATATAGAGTTAAAAAAAAAAAACTAATTAAAATAGGCTGAACGGGGTCATTAAGCCTATTTGAAACAAGACCATTTGGGGGGAAATGGGTATTGGAAATAGTTAGAAAGGTCCTCTCTGATGGTAGGAGAGAAATACACTCTTTAAAATCATCACATCTCTTCAGTGATTTTGAATGAAGTGTAGGACCCTCATCATATGAAACAATTGTGAGCTATCTCCTGAAGTGGCCACATTTTTCTGCCCCAAGTAGTAATTAATATATGAATCCTGCCTTATATGACGCATCCTAATGGGCAGTTTCATGGAATCTGCTACACACCATTTCAAACCGTAGCCAAATATGGAACATGTATTGAGCATGTGCTCACCTGGTTTTCCATTTCTGTACAAAGAAAGGAAGCAGAAGATATAATCACTTGCCCTGGAAAAGGTTTTGGGAAATGAAAAACATTTTAAAGATCCAGACCAGTACTGAATGGAGGCGCACCTCACCGTGGGTGCAGAGGCCGTGGTTAGCCCCGGGGGAGACTGGAAGCCAAAGCTTCTCGCCCTCACGCTGCTCAGGACCCTCTGTGAAGATTCCCTCGGCCTGGAAAAGAATCCCAACCCCACATGATCTACAATTTCGTTTGCTCCCTGGGCATGTCAAGGAACTGTGTAGAGGAACACACTGAGCAAATGTAAGAGAAATCTGGGAACCTCAGAGTGGCCCAGTGGCTTTTGTCCAGTCCTTAGACACACCCCATGGGCCTGAGCTGGACTCTGAAATTCAACACAGAAACTGGGGTGAGGGAGGGGAGGCTGGCCAGCTCAAGGGCGGCTCAGTCAGTACCAGATACATAATCATCTGTGACACATTTGGAATTTTTCAGACTGTGGAGCCAATTGTCACAAACAGTGCAAAGACCTCCTGGTTCTGGCTTGCAGGAGATTTTCCCGGGCGCCCTCTTTGGGCAGTAGTCACGGTTCGCTGCCTGGAAGCCCCTCGCTGCCCCCAGGTAATGCCCTCTGCTCTCTTTGCTGCCACAGTGTCTCTCTGTGCACCTCCTCACACCTGGACCTCATTTGGGTTCTGGGTCTAAACCTGGTCAGGGTCATTATAAACACTAAGGCTTTCTTTAGAGTGAGCAGCAGTGGCTAAACCCTCAAACCACCCTCTTTCTCTCTGCTTTGCAATCTCACTAACACACAACTTGTCTGCAGCTAATTTTGTTCTGTCTCTAGTTTGTTCCTTTAGGACCTTGCATGTCGGACTCCTGCCATTTGCACTAACTTTGACGGTTTGCTATACTGTCAAGCAACCAGAGGTCAGATAATCACCATCCTATTTTCCCTTCCAGTGCAAGATGAGGTGTTCGAGTTTCCTGGGGTCGCTGCTGGACACCGGGACCTGGACAGCAGAGCCATCACACTGGTCACAGGCTCTTCTCGCAAGATCTCTGTGAGGCTGCAGCGGGCCACCACCAGCCAGGCCACCCAGACTGAACCTGTCTGGTCAGAAGCTGGCTGGGGAGACTCAGGGTCCCACACCTTCCCCAAAATGAAATCCAAGTTCCATGACAAAGCAGCAAAGGACAAAGGCTTTGCCAAGTGGGAAAATGAGAAGCCCAGGGTGCAGGCTGGCGTGGATGTTGTAGACCGAGGCACCGAGTTCGAACCTGACCAGGATGAAGAAGAGGAGAGCAGACAGGACGTTGAGGTCAGTACGGTGTGACACCACAGATAAAATCTGAAGAAGGAGGCCGAGGTGCTGATATAGGAGGCAGCCTGGTAGTTTTGAAAGCAGGATGGTTGGGAATGTGTCACTTTTAGTCTTGCCATTGGCTAGTTACATGACTCTGGGCATATGGTTTCTTCTCTTTGGACCTCAGTTTCATCACATAGGAAGTTGAACTGGACTGAGTTTTAAAACTTAATGAAGATTGTCATGTCTGTGTAGTGATATGATGCCCCAGGAACCCACCACTATTGCAAGTATCCAATATACCAATACACTATCCAGATTGGCTTGGTTTTCCAACCTCGAACAGGGGCCCAAACTCAGGGGAGGCAGTGGAAGCCGAAGACTTGTAGAGAGAGAAGGAGAATTGGAAAAAATACCTCTTTCCCCTATTAAAAAAGAGACTTTTGGCAGCATGATGGAAAAAGGGGTGGGGAGAACTAGAGATATGGGAACCTCGAGGTTCTACAGACCAGGCTTTGTCTCCACATAAGAATTACACGCAGATCATCCAGAGCAAACTGGGATACATATGAAATTTGTTAGAACATACTTAAATATAAATTGGTTCCAGTTGGAGTTAGATACACTTAACAGTCAATAGTCTATAGCATATTAAGTAAAAGGATTTGGGAAAGTGGCTTGTCATATTCCTAACCCTTAAAGCAATGTCAGGGAGGACTGTCATTGCTGCCCTGTTGAGTCATTCTCATAAACAGGAGTCTGGGTTAGGCAGAGATCCTACTGGATTGAGCCAGTGCTCTTTAGTCTTATGGGTAGAATTCCACATTCCACTCTTCAGGAGACCCAACACATGGTCTCCATAGTTTCCCATGATGAGAAAAACTCCAATGACCTTTAACCAAAACCTCTAGTTCCTTCCTCATTGAGGACAATTAATAAGGAGGTCACACATTATCTCCAGTCATATGAAGTTTATTGTCAGTTTCTGCTGAGTCATTTTTTCCTTTGTTATAACACCAACTTCAAAAAAACAGCTTAGAGATACAATTCACATACCATGAATTTGATTCATATAAAGTATACAGTTTAATGGCTTTTCATATACAGAGTTATGCAACCATCACTACAATCTAATTTTGGAACATTTTCATCATTCCTAAAAGAAACCTGTACCCATGAGCAGTCACTCTCCCCTACCTTGCCCCAGCCCTAGACAACCAACTAATTTATTTGCTGCCTCTTGGATTTGCAACACCAACTTTATTTTTAACATTTCCCTTACTGATCATCTTTGCAAATGGATCAGTCCTGTGCTTCTACTCTTACTGGCCTACCATAGTTCAAGCTAGGAATATAAAGGTGAATAAGAAAAAGCTCATGACTTGGTGAAGGGGAAGATTTCCTAGTATATAGGAAAGGCAAGGGCTCTAAACCTGAGGTCTAAAACATGGCTTCAAGGAGGTTCATGAAAGCACTTCATTTTTTATGTAAAATTATACATGGACATATGCTCATTTCTTGGGAGAGGAGGAATTCATAGCATCGAACTGGTTCTCATGTGAGTCTGTGATCCAAAAACAGCAAAGAATCATTGTGCGAGATTTTCTGGTTGCCTGAAATTCTGCTAGTCGCCCCATGTACCAGTTCAGCCTGTAGAAGCTGTTTCCATGAGTGTTGTGGCTGACCCTGAACTCTCAGAAGACGACTTGCTCTGGGTAGAATCGTAGGATACCCACGAGAGTGCTCAGGATGGCGTCCACAGTGTGGACATCTGTGAACTCAGAGGAGGACCTGCTTTTATCTAACAAATAGTGAAATTGCCTGTGAGCTCACTTCTACTGGCCTGTCACAGTTCAAGTTACTTAAACCGTGCTCCTGAGTTAGGAGAAATTCCCAGCTTGTTAAGTGTAGGAACCACTTACGTAGGCAAGATTTCCTGATCATTAATCTCTATTAAAGAAAAATAGAAACGAAGATCTGTTTTCTTTAAATTTAATTTTGATCTATGGAAATTGAACTTTTCTATTCAAATGTTCTCTTACCCTTTCAGTGTTCTCATCTCATAAATCATAGGGGTGGTTCCCTGACCACTGGTATTTAATTTCATTTGTGCTAATTAATGAAGACAGTATGCTGTTGTATAAAGTGCATATATGATATACTTGGATGGTCTCACTACCATCCAAATCAGTAACAAATTAGAAGACATTTGTCTTGTTTAGGGAAGAAGCACAAAGGGAAAAATGTGACAAAATTACACCCAAGCGTTGAGTATGTAGACCAAGGAGTTTTCAGATTTAAGAATTTTTATGCCAGGAAAGACCAATGAACTGCATTACACGATTACTGTCTGAGCAGTAAGAATATATGTATTTTCTTTATAATTCTGCTTTTGTTTTCCATTTCTTATGGTATGTTAAATCTAATCCACAAATATTTATCATAGAGGGGTTGGGAAATGCTGGACTAAACAGAATTGGATATGTTTATGAATATATATGTCATATGCTTATGCACAGCATACATATATAGATGTATACATACATCTTGAGGGATTTATGCTTTGTGGCACACCCTTTAGGAAACACTGTAGTGTGAGCATCCTTGTTGGACTCTGTATGGAAGTCTTTAAGATTCCATGTGCTGGGTAGACTATATGATCTCTTAATTCCTAGCATATCCTAAGACTATAAGGTACTGATCATTTCAGATGTTCCCCTCAAATTCATCTGAAAAACTGTGTTCTAGGGACACTCTTACTTTGTTACATGAGACCCAGCCACGTAACAGGCTCTGATTTGTATTTCAGGATGGCTGACTTCAGGCTGCAGAAACTGAAGGCAGTAATGTTGGCTTTTGGAAGGAGGAGAATGAGAATCATTGACGAAAGCTCAGACTCTCAGGAAGTTATCTGGAAAGATATCTGGATGTTTCCTGCCTCGTGACATTTGTGGGATCTCCGTGATTGGACTACGGGACAGAGGATTCACCCTAACTATGAACTATTTATTTCTCCTCCCCTGCCCTTAGTTAGGCGCCACAAAGTCTGTATTATGTAGTTAGTAGTTTCCTTACGTATCTTTCTCTAGAGCAGTTTATAATACGGGTGAAATGAAAGCTCTTGCCCACGCACTTGATACTCATTTTCTAAAACTCAGACTTCGCTTTTTCTGGTGACAATACTATTTCAATATTTTTATAAGCTTTTCTGTGTGTCGTGGGAAGGGGGTGTTTAACAAGGAGTTGAGTTAGAGGTCTTTTTGTGTGCCTTTGGATGGGACCAGGACTTAATATTTTCCTGAGGACAAGGAAGCCCTTCAGACCCTAGAATGCAGCCGTTCTTCTCATGATGATCAGCTGCAACAAGAAACTGTTTACATTGTGCCTGCTGTACCATTGCTATGATGTGTAACAAGTCACACCTGTGTATATCACGTAAGTCTTACCAATTCTGCATCCCTAGGAAGCTATGACATAGTGGTGAAGGCTCTCCTAATATTTATAATAGCCATAGGGTAAGATTAACTGTTCTTATCCAATCTGACTGGGTTAAGCCATCTTTCTTAAGATTCCTGAAATAGAGATAGCAATTAAGAAATCAATTCAAGTTTTGGGGGATAAAATTTAACAGAAGAACAACCATTGAACAAATGGCTAGGTGAAATGCAAAACAACCATCAATTTATTAAACCCGAAATAATTTTAAGAACTTTGTTTGTTAAAAAAAAAAAAAACCCAACCTTTCTTTTGGTTGTAAAAACAAGCCCTTGTACTTTTCCTAAGACACTGCCATCCATAATTAAAGAATATTTGTAGAAAATAATCATAAATCACCTTTGATTAATATTTCATTTAAACTTTTAAAATATCAATATTTTAAATAGCTTCTTTTGACCCAAAATAACTAGATATGAGTCTATTTCTTACATGATTAGAGGAGAGAGAACTTGATTCAAGATTTTTAAAAACAGAGATGAGATTGAACTCATGGGTGAGGGGAAATGATTTGATACCAAGTGACTAGTCAGAAACTATTCCACAGATGTGCGCTGGTCCGCATTTGAGGATAAAGTGTATATATTCCATATGGAACAATTTGTTTCTACTTGGGGAAGTCACTTCTGTAAAACCTTTCTCTCCTCTTTTCTCCGCTGCGGACAACTGAGGGCAGTTCTGCTCAGCAAACTGGTTGAGCACCTGCTCTGGGCAGGTCCCATGCTAGATGCACCAAGACAAGCAAAACTGGGCCTCAGCCCGCAGGAGCTGAGAGAGCGTGTGGAGATGAAAGCAAAGTGGTTCCATTGACTCGAAATATGGTTCCAAATATGCTAGCACTGACTTATTGTGCCAATCACATTCAGGGACTGGAAATATTGCAAATTAAATGAAATTATCAGTGGAGGGAGCGCAATTAAGCTAGATAATAAGAGAACTCACCATTCTCAAGCACCTCAGAGAGCACCCAGCCATCCCCAAGTGTTGGTTCTGTGCATATACACTATCTACTCCGATTCATAATTGCAAGGAAATATAATGGCAATGAAATTAAAAACAGAAAACAGCAATTTAAGTACAGGAAAACTTTCATGTGTTTAAAAAAATTTCGAAGAAAATTCTGGAAGAAACTTGTTAATAAATGTTATACTGTTCTTTTACTTCTCAAAGAAATTATTTCACTTGTTTGGGTATTTTTGAGTTTTCATATATAGAAAGTTTTATATTGTTAGCCTTCCTGTGACAAAGATACCAAATGTAATTTGAGTAAAAAATAAACATAAACAAAAAAGAAAATAAATAAATATATATGTATGTGAAGGATATATGTGCCTATATATTGTGTGTGTATGTATATACAGTAAATTTTCACTTAATGTTGTCCATAGGTTCTTGGAACCTGTAACTTTAAGCGAAACAATGTAAAACAAGACCAACATTTTTTCTCGTCAACATTATAATGAAATGACATTGAATGAACTGATGTTATCCCAGGCCCTGCTGTATGTCATTTCAATTAAAGTTGCCTTTTCCAAGAACCTGTCGAAGACATTGAGGACTTACTGTGTGTGTGTATATACATATATGTATGAGTTATACCCATACAAACACACACACAATGATTATTATTAACACTTTGCTTAAAAATAATTTCACTCCATAACAAAGCTGGTTTACAATTTTGATTATATCATTGACTCACAACCAATGGTGACTCTGATATTTCCAATTTCCCGTAAACAGTAAAATAAACAAAATAGGCAAACTTATGATGGAGCAAAAAGAACTACTTTATGGTTGGTTTCTCCAGACCTTCGTTTTGTAGGTTTAATGATTACTGTTGCTGTGAAAGTGAAAAGCAAAAACAAAACCAAACTCTCTCTTAAAAATGAATATTATTGGCTGGGTGTGGTGGCTTATGCCTGTAATCTCAGTACTTTGGGAGACCGAGGCAGGAGGATCTCTTAAGGCCAGGGGTTTGAGACCAGCCTGGGTAACATAGTGAGACTCTCATTAGTTGGGTGTGGTGGCATGTGCCTGTAGTCCCAGCTATTCCTGAGGTGGAGGTGGGAGGATCACTTGAGCCCAGGAGTTTGAGGTTATAGTTTGAGCTGTGATTGCACCACTGCATTCCAGCCTGGGCAACAGAGTGAGACTCTATTTCTACAAAAAAAAAAAAAAAATGGCAGGTGAAAAATTATTTCCTCTCTTACTGGTAATCACTAAAAAAGCAACAATGAGAATAAAAACATGTTCCATTTGCAGAGAAACCAAGAGAGATCTCAAATCTTAGACCCAAAAGAGGAATAGATGGACAAGAGCATCAGACAGTGACCAGTGGGGCTTGCAGGAGGATGTGGATGGAGGTTGCTGTGGGAGAAATGGATTCACTGGCTACAGTATTAAATACAGCAACAAATAACCCCCTCGGAGAGAAGGAGCATACTCTGAAGTGCAAATCCTCAATTCTTTGTTTACAACAGAAGAAACAGCACTGAAACAGCTGGTGGCAGGCATTTCCTAGGCCTGCTTGGTTCTGAGAAGCAGAAGAGCCGGAACACCGACAAACAGTATTTGCAAGAAGCAATCTGTCTTACGACACCCACAGTGCTAGGGAGTCTTTATGATGAAATAATAATAATAATAAATCCTATAGTTGCCAGTCCCCACCAAGCCTCCATAAGTCCACACTCAAAACCTAGGATCATAAGAAAAATCTTTGGTAAGATGATGTCTAGCCCTAAAAAAAAAAAAAAAAAAAGAAAAATCTTACCTGGCATGAACACTATCCTCTTTCCTCATAAATTTTGGATAAAAGCTCAAAATTAAAACAGTTGAAACAAAAAACCCAGGAGACACTAGAGGAAAAAAGACAGTTAAACAAACATCAGAAGACTTCTGACCAGAAAACAAACAAACTATTGCAAAGCATATGAAAATGGTTTCTCCAAGAGTTAAAGCTACTTAATGAATTCCTGATTCACAGAAACTATGATAACAAATGCTTATTGTTGCTTTAAGATACTAAGTTTTAGGATATTTTGCTACACACTAGACAATGAATACAGTATCCTACAGAGCAATTAAACCATGACCTTTGGGGTTTTCTCCTCCGCTGGATAGCAATTATTTGTATCGCTACCAGATAAAAATCATTTGCATCTTAGCAATTTTCTTCAAATTAGCAACTGATCCCTAATCTGTAGTAAATCAAACAAAATTATATCCCCTTAAGGAGGGTTCCTATACCTCAGTACTATTGACATTTGGGGCCAGATAATTCTTTGCGGGGAAGTGGGGAGCTGTCTTGTGCATTGTAGGGTACTTAACAGCATGCCTGGCCTCTGCTCACTACACACCAGTAGCACTCCCTCCCCTGCCATAAATGTGATAACCCAAAACGTCTTTAGACATTTCCAAATATCCGCTAGAAGGCAAAATTGCTCCTGGCTGAGAACCATTGCCCATTCATCACAGTCACCTGGAGGTTTGTTAAAGCACAGGTTACTGGACCCCATCCACAGAGCTTCTGACTTTGTTGGTCTGGTGTGGGGTCTAAGAACTTGCATTTCTAAATTCCAGTGGATGCTGGTGCTGATTCTACGATCCGGGGACCACACTTGAGAATCAATGCTCTAGAAAGTCAGATGACTCTTAGACAGGCTTGTTTGACATTACTATAAGATGACACCTAAAGGACATGCAGCTACTTTCTGCCTTATTTCTAGGTTTTGGATCACTTTTCTTAGTAATTCTTTCTAAAGAAGTATAAGGTCAGGAGTGGAGAACCTGTGGCCTTAAGGCAACATGTGCAGCCTTTTGACTGAATCCATATTTTACAGAACAAATCCTTTTATTTTTATTAATACATTTTTGTTCATCTTTTATATTTTTACTTTATTTTTTAAATGAACATATTTAAAATACCAAAGAATAAAATAAGTTTCAGTGAAATAATCCTCCCAGATTGATCAGCACAATTAGAACAATTAATAAGCCATAAGGGCTAAATTGATGGCTGCTTCACTCATGATTTAGTTTTAACTCCCCCCACCTGACTGGCACCACTACAGCATGAGGTTGGTTGGCAAGAGTTTATGAGGGTCAAGTATACCAGTCTGTTATAAGCCTTTGATAACAGTATTTTGTGTTTCTGTTGGAAGTGGACCTTGTAAATAGTTGCACAGCTTGATGGTATTTTTAAATTTTGTCTGATTAACAGCCCATCATGTCAAAAAAGACCAAGAGAACACTCAAGGAAGAAAACAGATTTTTTGGCCGGGCGTGGTGGCTCACGCCTGTAATCCTAGCTTTCTGGGAGGCCAAGGAAGGTGGATCGTTTGAGCTTAGGAGTTCAAAACCAACCTGAGCAAGAGAGAGACCCGTCTCTACTATAAATAGAAAGAAATTAATTGGCCAACTAATATATAGAGAAAAAATTAGCCGGGCATGGTGGCGCATGCCTGTAGTCCCAGCTACTCGGGAGGCTGAGGCAGGAGGATCACTTGAGCCCAGGAATTTGAGGTTGCTGTGAGCTAGGCTGACACCATGGCACTCACTCTAGCCTGGGCAACAAAAAAAAAAAAAAAAAAAAAAAAAAGAAAACAGATTTTTTAATGAGAATTAGGAATTGCAATATCATCTTGTTTCTGCTAAAGATAAGATGGTTTGCTTGCTTTGTGATACTGCAATTATCAACAGTAAAGAAATGCAATGCTTATCAAAATTATAACACTCATAAGGACCACAAATATTTTAAACTAGAGGGAAAGGCATGAAAGGTTGTACTGCAGAAATTAAAAGATGAAAAGCAAAAGCAAAGACAATTCTTTCAAGGAGCAATAAAACCTGGAAATAATGCCACCGAAGCAACATATAAAGTAGTTTATATACCTCGGGGGCAAAGGGGAAGCCATCCAGTGATGTAGAAATTGTGAAAGAATGCATTGTTGAAGTTGTAGGATGCTTAGACCCCGATAACATATCAAAGTACAAACAACTTCCTATTTCAAGGAGAACCATAATTGATCAGCAGCATGAATTAGCCTTCAATTTAACAGAACAACTTCATGCAACATTTCAAAAGGAAAATATATATTATTCAATCGCTTTGAATGAATCAACCGATACTACTGACTCAATGCAGGTTTTATACTTCATTTGGGTCACAACAGAAGATCTTCTTACTCACTTTGGGCACTCTTGCAAACAGAACACGGGGGATAGATATCT